TTGTGGGCAGATTGACAGAGATTACACCATCTAAAGAGAACATAAAGGGATTATTAGACGTTTTTCTTGACTCTGCTTGAGGAAATCGTAGTGCTTGAGTCACTACTTGATAAATCAGTAGCATTCCTCTTTTTTTCCTGTGAGGTTAATATGTTGGTTCAGTCAGAAACCACATTCACTGAGCTATAAGTACAACTGAGCTATATTAGTCACGCTGATGTTTGGTTGCAGTTTATTGAAAGCATATGAAACACAAACTGATTAACAATGTGAAACAGAAAAATTAGAATGGCATTTCCTGATTTTTATGTTGTTCTGCCAGCAGTATTATGACATTTGTGTTGCTGCATAAATAAGCATCCAGGATTTTATTTGAGTCAGTTTAATTACTTCATGTATTGAATCTAAACCTGTGAACAAAGCCGAGGCTACACGGAGATGCAACTTTTTGTTGTTTCTAATAGGGCTAGATCAATATATCGGTCCATCCGGCCAAAATTTACCATTTTTATATATCCGCATTGGCCAATATTTGTCTTTAGTAAAGCCCATTTAAAGTCAGGCACGTCCTCAGGTAGCCCGGTGCTGTTGCAGAATTTAATTTAAATATATTTTTATGTTCACTAAGAACATCTGCATAATAAATACTTTAAACTAACTTTATTTGTGTACTTGACTTTAACACTGAGTATTGCACAAAGATTTAAAGGGGAACTAAGCAGTTTTGGCTTGCTTTTATTGCCCCCTAGTGTCCGTTTGTAGAACCAAAACCCCTAGACTGGAATGCGCATTTGAAAGGCACAAGGGTGGAAGTGTGAGTGTTGAGATTGGGCCTAGTTAGCAGACAGTACTGTCCTTAACCCATTCACTGCCAGCCATTTCCAGACCAGAAAAACCCCTGGCTGCAAGTGTTTGAGTGTTTTTTCCAGTTTTTTTGAAGAGTCACAGAACATTGTTCTCTATGATGATGTCAATGCCAAAACTACCAAAAGAAAGAACAGATTCACTTCTAACATCAGGAAGAATCTCTGTGTTTCTAGCGTTATCCGTTCTTTCATAATCCGCTGTCGAATTGTGAGCTGCAGAAGCTTTTCTGGTTTGCGCCTCACTTTTTTCACAGCAGCAGCTCTAAACAATCTCCTATTCATAGATTTTCTGCTTCCTGATGACGTTACATGTTAGATTCGTGGATGAAGATCAGCTTTGGAGATGTGATGTCTTTTCTCGCGGTGCAGGGGCTCGTTCCGACGCCCGCCCAGTAAAAATATGCAATTGACAATTTTAGTTGTCAATGGCAGCGAGCGGTTGGATTTAAAATGATTACTTTAGTCACCAATGACAGGAAATGAGTTGAAGGGAGACTAAGCATTTTCAAATTGCTTTTTAGCACCCTCTAGTGTCCATTTGTAAATATCTCACGGTGCGTTCGTCTCAATCTAACAGCTGAAATGTCTCCCCAGCCTTAATTGGTGTCTACAGGAGTGGCACATCTCCACTGGCTTCCAGTTGCCTTCCGTGTGAGGTTCAAACTATTGATTTTTGCATTCAAGGCTCTGAATGACAGTGGCTAATTTACTTTGTATTTGTTTTGATCTTTTTGTACGGACTTTTTTTTATTGGATTATATTTTTTGTTGTACCTGTTTTTAACGACCGTGCCCAGTCCCAACAGAGCGGCTCACCAGTCTGAAGTTGCAAGTGCAATATTCTGGCCACAGGGGGCGATAGGGGTGGGATGGCCTTTCAGTAACCCTGTAAAGGGTCATTACAGCACATACTGTCTCAAGAAAATGCTTTTAAAATATGAAAAAGTCACTAAGTATCCCTTTAACAGTTGGCTAAATTCAGAGTTCAAAACTGATTCAGCTTCAGAAATGAGAGCATCAACTGATAGTATTAGTGATACTATAGCATGAAAATGTCTAGATATCAGCCATGGAAAATGAACCATAAAAATCTACAGTACATATCAGCCATCGGCTTACCACGTCTCCTACATTTTGGCAATAGTATTGGCAATAGACAAACCACCATCGGTCAACCTCTAGTTTTAACAGTATCCTCAACACAGCGTTGTTTCTAGAAACGTCTTCATCCACACTAAAAACACTAAAACTGACCTAAAGTGCTAAACTAACCATGCCAGGTCTGCATGTGACACTGTAATGCTGCCATGAATACATAAAAAAACAGGAAATGAGATCTGGAACATATTCATAAAGCTGGAGACAAAATGTAAGCACATCACGTCATGAAACCATTTGTGATTGACCCTTTGCTTCTATGCCACCTGATCATGACATCAACAGTGAGTTACACAAGTGTTGAACGGGGGGCAACAGTCGTGGCTGAAATGGTTGTTTTGCCAGTTTAGCATGGTTCCTACTAGTTCAAGCCCAGTTTACTTGTTAGAAGAAGTAGCTAGAGCTCATAAAGTGCAGTATTTACAAAAGTTAGAGTTATAGCTTACTAACCAACTCTTCGTATAATTCGTATAGTTCGTATAATTTAATTGATGTTACATAATCAAGTTGCCAACTCTGCATCATTTACACCATTGTGTGATAAACAGTGACTCGCTTTACACTGGAGCTGATCTGAAGGCCTACGAAAGTCCAGTTTTTGTTGCTGGTTGGTCACCAGGACCAGGTTCTACTCTCACATCGGGAGGAACAATGGTGAAGCTCATCATGCCGAAAGAATAACGTACTTTTCTCACCTGTAGCCCTACAATGGAACAATGTTATTAGCATCTATAGTGGATGGTAATGCATGTCCGTCATAATGAAATATAAGATTTTCAAAAAGCCAATAAAGATATAAAGCACATCACATTTACCCTTTCAGGTCTATAGTCAGGCCCTGTCCTGCTCATGACATATGTGAACGTTAATCTTACCCAATAAAATGTGTTCACAGTTATTCTGTGAATAGTTTGATTGTTGTTCTTCATCCCCATCTTCTGTCTCCATCAGAGGTCAAACGATAAAAAAGACAAGTTGAGTTTCACCCTTGCCTGTAAGTGCAACCAACTCCACGGCAGTTGATATAAGGCTACAAACCGTCTTGTACCGTTTCCTTATTGCTATTTTGTTGTGATAGAATTATTTGATAAAATAAAATAGATTATTGGTTCTTATATTAACACTAGCCAATAAACAATTCAGTTTAAAAAACTATTTTTTTTCATTGTTTAATATTTTTCAGGTTTTAAATGGTTAAAGAAAAAAAATTGTTTTAGTCAATTGTTTGCGGTCTAGATACACATAGCTAGAAGACAGTGTACGTCACTACACAGGGCAAATTTCTACTTCACAAGTTGTGCCAAATAAACTAATAAATATCATGCTTTTTGCCTCAAATCTGTCATATTTAGACATTATGAGAGAGGCGAAGTAGCTGGAGAGTTTTATGAATAACATATTTATGAAAAAGTTGGGTCATTAAAAAACTGAAAACCGATAAAGATATCTTCCAAAATTTTTGTATCTGCAGATATTAATGGTAGACCAGTAATATCAAACACCCCTGTACAAAAAACAATGACTTTTTGGAATATCTATTTTTGCCAGATTTTATGTTTTTAAGTAGATCGCGCAATTTATTCCAGTCTGGATCCAAGTGAATTATTTTTTTTATTCAACAAAAAAGAACCAAAGTCTGAAAAATCAAAGAAAATCCTCTCTCATCCTCAATGAAATCATTACTAAAACCCTTCTAAAAATAAATACATCACTAAGCCTGCTTATGTAAACTCACAAAAATAGGATACTTGTCAAAAGAAAATAGCAGCTCTCGCCTACAGCTTTATCCATCTACTTATAAATGTTCTTATTTACAAAATTCACAAAAAAGCACCATAGAAATTTCGAATCTCAGATTAACACGAATGTAGAATGTGAGGTCACTTCTGCTGCTGCTGGAACTAAAGAAAAAAAATCTACAGGAAGATTATAAAACACAACAGAAATCATGAATGTAAAATAAGATATACTGCAACAGAGATAAACAGTATCAGAAAAACACATTAAAGCTATTTTATCAAATCGACAGAACAAGCTAGGTTTTGGACGCCAACACGTTTCATACAGGCACCTTCCCTCAGATGCTTCTGCCAGAAACAGAGACCAGCAATGCTAGAGGAAACGAGATAGCGCTAAACACCAGTCGGAGTATAGTTCCAAATGTCTTTTGTCATCCGTGACTTCAAATGATGTTTTTCTTTTTGGGACTCTGGTAGTTTATCCTAAAGTTGAAATAGCAGCAGCCGGCTGTTTCTCCCCTTCTGATATGTTGAGGAGAGAACCTCTCACACCAGTGGTGTTCTGTTTCTAAATGCACGAGTGTGCAATGAGTTGAGGACCCCGGGAAGTTCGGTGGTTTAGCGAGACCAACAACTGTAAGGTCCAATAGTTGCATTCGGTTTTTCGACAAATGCAAGAGAACCAATTCGTATTTTTTTTATCTCCACAATATATTTATAGCTATCCTTTATTAGAATGATGTTAAGAGGGACGAAAGAAATGTTTTAACCCTCTCAGGCTCAAAATAAGTTTTGATAAAAGGACAAACAACTAAGTCATTCAGGGGTACTTATGAGTTAAAAAATGCTCATGAAATACGTCTGTGGAGTAACCAGGTAGGTAGGTTTTAACGTTGCAAATCTGCAACGCCTGCCTCCAGAAGGTTATGGTAATTTGTTTTCTAATTTTTCCATTTAAAGATAAAATACATAAAAGTAACCAAGTTTTAAAACATAAGGCTCTAGTCCAGTGCTTCCATAAAAATGTGTATCTGTGTCACTAAGTGTTGGTGAAATTAAACCTTAAACTCTAGAATTATTCATATTATTTTAGATATAATTTCTCCATACCACCTTAAATCCAAACATACAGTAAATTGCAAACATATGTCATTAATTTTATTTTATGGAATTAAAATGAAAATCAGCTTATTTGCCTCTGCTTTTGACTTTGTCTCTCCTCTTCCACGTTTTTGCAGATGTTTCTGGTGGCTTTGTCCTTTGCCTATTTTGCAAAGGCTCTGTCGGGGAGCTACATGAAGAGCACAATAACTCAGTTGGAACGGCGCTTCGACATCCCCAGCTACCTAATAGGAGTCATTGATGGTAGCTTTGAGATAGGTGAGTGGGCCTGCCAATCTAACCTTGTTTTGTTTGGTTACTTCTGTATTCGCCTACCTTTTTTCCCCTTCTGTGTCTTTTTGGTAAAAATGTGAATGGGTCATTGAGCTGTTCAGGCTGCAGATAAAGGATTCATCAGGTTTCCGAGGACAGAGGGGTGTGTTTGTGTGTTTCTGTGTGAAGTGAGTCATCGTTTCTGAGCAAGGACATAATAGCAAGACTCAAAGCTGTCATAAAGCTGTAAGACTCTTCCTACGACTTACCGTCTCCATATTAGAACTAATTCCTTCCAGTGATGCTATTTATAGCGATCAGCTGACATTTGCTAGCTTTGATCTTGACATGTGAATCAGCTACTTGGAACTATTTTCTCATATTTATCATTTTTCTTGTGCTTTGTGCCTAACATCTTTTCCACAAATGACGATTCCTGCCCTGGGTTATCCTAGGAACATAATATCAGTTCTGAGCAACATGAAAACAATTAAGCATAGCCAAACAAATTTATCTGTCTGCGATTGTGGCCTGGATTCATCAGCTAATTTAATTCTCATCACAAATACTTGTTTGTATTTTTCTAAATGTTGACCCACATCAAGAAATTGCTACTCAGATGATATGATTGGAAAGCGTTACTGATAATCTAGCATGAACTGGGATTCTGAGAACCAGATTCATTTGTTTTCAAAGGCAGACATCAAATAGCCTTGTGAGACATTATTTCCTTGTTTAAAAGGATGTCCACATCCATTCACCCATTAATCTATTCATCTATTTTCTTTGGCAAAGCTGAACCGTGGGGGATCCAGATGGGAACCTGAGACACTCCTGGTCACACAGCAACATTTTCAGCTCCTTCTTGAGGAGAGGAGAGAACATTTAATCAAACACGTTCTGTCAAGAGAGAGTAGGTGTAGGGACATCCAAAAGAAGCCAGGTAGGTTAAACATGAAGCCTTTAAGGCTTGGCTGGGACAAGTACAGGATGTGAGACACGAGGCTCCAACAACGAATGGAGGACTGAGCTGGGTTTAAATAGACAGTGATGAGGAAACAGGGAGCAGGTGTGATGATGAATGATCTGCTACAGGTGAGAGTAATTAAGAGAGGGGAGCCTGAATATAGAGACACTGGAATAAAAGAAGAAACCGTAATAAAACAAAACAAGAGAACCAGAACTAAAGACCTAAAGGAAATAAACAATTCTAACAATAACTGAAGACAGGAAAACCATGATGATAATAATCTAAACACAACAAACAAAATACAAAGAGCCAGGGAACTAAGGCAGGGAAAAAGGAAAACCAACAAGAAATCAAACACTGAAGAGGCTGGGGAGTGGAAAGACTGAAAACTGTCATAGGAGGAGAAGTGAATAACCAGAATAAGTTTTAGGGGACAAGCAACGCAAAGGAGATGGGGAAAAGAACATGATTTGTTCTTGATCTGCCACAGGGTCTCCTCCCAGTTGGGCATTCCTGGAAGCTCTCCAAAAGAAGATGACAAAGAGGCACCCTGATTGGATGCCCTAACCCTCTCTGCTGTCTTTTTATTTTGAGGATTAATTTGCAGCTCTTCTCTGAACTACACTGATGAGAAAGATCCTCACTGCAGACCTCGCACACTACATGAAGAAAAGCTCAGCTCGTCTTCATTTGATCATTAGCTAAATGTCCTGACCAAGAGGTGAAGGCCAAAAACAAGAAGTTTGACCCAGCACCTTCATTACAATGACAGACCAAAGCAACCCCCCCCCCCCCCCCCCCCATTTATCAGACCATCTCAGAAAATCTCAGAAAGTAGATGGTGAAACGCTACGATTTGAAAAGCCAGACATACACTGCCACTGAACGTTAATGGAATCACCCATCTTGACTCGCAGCAGGGAAGGCTGTTGTTGGTTTAGTGTCCACGAATCAGCAGGGAGTGGTTAGCAGAAGCTAACCATTAGCATTAGCAACTCCACCACACAGCAGAACTCCTCCAGGCTTGTGCTTTTTGCAGAGATAAAACAACATTGCAGAACAAACTGTCAGTAGTAGAGTCGTGTTGCTGTTATCCAGTCTGAGGCAAGATCTCCAAATACCAGGAACCAAGACTTAAATTCCTGCAGTCTGAAGCTCAGCTCTGATGTGGCTCACTTCTACTTCCTGAAAATGGTGCACCAGTGCTTTTTTTATACCCCATAACTAATTACAAGGCATTCATTCATACCAGAGACCACTGCAAATGTATTAATTATACAAGTGTTTCACACCTTAAAAACCCAAATCCTAGATGAGCAAGCAGGGCCGTTTCTAGCATTGTGGGGGCCCAATGCAAGATAATGTTCAGGGCCCCCCTATTTTGACAAACTGCAATTGATGATCTATATACATACCATGAATTGTCACAAACTGCAAGCAAAACATGGTACAGTATTAAAATTAAACACTCACTCAAGAAATATAACTAACTAATAAAAACTAGAAAGCAGTCAGAGTGCAGACCTCCACCCTGGGAGGGGTGTCCACGTCACACATACCGTAATAAAGGGGCTACGTGAATGTGAACAAGTACAACAACAACTGATTAAAGGTTCCTGTATCAAGACAGTGGTCAAGATCACAATCTTTCTGATGGTCTGAGATTTAATTATTTTAAGTATAACTCTGGTTATATTGGGCTATTAACATTTAAAGCTGTTGTGTAGTTTATAATTGGGATTTTAAACCAAAACAGTACGTTATAACTGTTATAAAAAGCATTTGATTTTTCTTCAGAAATTTCTGAATAGAAAATAGAAAGTGTACATGAACAAAAACTCTGAAATAGCAGAAATCAAGCATAACATGTATTACAACCTTGTATTGATTTTTTTACATGTACAATTTTCAGTGTCTGAGTTTCTATAGATATTGTCTGTCAATGTTCAGGTGTTCTTAGCTGTTGTGGTATTCTGCTTGTCCTGCTGCAGACTAAACCATTTCTTGCACTCTTTGCTCCTCCAGGGAGTGTTTTTTTGTTTTGCACAGAGTGTACCTGTTTCACCCCTGACCTGCCCTCTGTGCTTTGTCCATTCCTTCTCCACTGGTCCAGGGGACAGGGATGTGACCTTGAGCAGAGGTCACTGAAGGGTTTTCATCCTGTGCACACTGCTGCTCCCAAAATTGTTGATGTTTCATGGCCTCCTTCTGCTACTTGTTGCTGATTTGTTTGTGGAGCTGGTGGTGAGAGGTAGCTGATAGCCCGGTGTTCTTCTGGGGATAAATCTGGGTGTCATGGGTCGACGGTACCTGGGTCTGACTTTGTTGTCCAGATGTCCAGAAGATGTGGAGCATCTCCAGCAGCATCCTGTTTCTGACATTGCCTATTGCTGGTGATGGTGGATGGCTCTTCATCAGAAGAATCTCTAAAGTTATAAATACATCAGATTTTATAAAACATACTCAAGTGGTAAATACTAGAAAATGACAACTGTTAAAAAAAACACAGAACTGAAACTAGAAATATATTTGAACTGTAGATAAACTTTCTGCAGCTGTGATGGCAAATCATCTTCGTCCACACCTGAATCCTCAACCACAGATGTACATGGACCTTTGGTTTTCCTGGACATAGCGGTAATAGTATATAACAGTATAGTAATAGTATTAGCAGAAATACTATAGTAATGGAACAGGTTTGGTGGAAAATATTTTGTGCAGAGATACTTACTGCATTTGGGATGGAAAAACAATGTGGGCACATCTTGCTCCTCCTAAACAATTTCTGAGGGAAGTTCCTGGTTTCCGGTTTATTTACAAAAACAAATCTACCGTATAAAATAATAAAAAAGCCTGTGAAAAATGCAGCAGAAAAAAGACAAAACTACAGGTTATCGAACGAGTACAAAAAATGGCTAAGCAATGTCAAATATGACTAAATATAATCTAAAATGACTAAATAAAAGCATAAAGTAGGAAATTTACTGAACATAATTATTTACACCAGTAGAAGAGATAGAAGTTGAAAATATGCGTCCAAAACAATTCCTCCGCGCCTCTATGAGCACGGCACAGGGCAGACTGTTTATTTTTTTGTTCTTGGGCAGGGACTTGCGTAAAATTACCGTAATGTATTGTATACCACTGGAAAGTACATCATCTCAGCTTTCAGAATCTGTTGATGGTGCAAGCTATCGAAGAGTTACGGTAAAGTATGAAAGCCATTTTGTGTCGCAATCGACACAACCGCAGCAGCTTTGGGGGCTCTATGCAACAGCATAGGTTGCATATAGGAAGAAACGGCCATGTTAGCCAGAATAAACTTTGAACAGCCACTTTAGGGCTCAAACTCCAGACTTCTTCAGTACAAGACATCTTTGAATTCTTCACCTGCTCGCCACAAAGACACAGCAGTGGTATACCAAATCATCCCTATCGTAACCCTCAAAAGAGAAAAACACTACAGTCTTCCAAACGAGCCAGTGTCCAACAGAAATATAAAAACCCTCTTCCACGCTGCATCTCGACCCACTTGTCCCACCGGCCACTCAAACTGGATTTCCCCCACAACACCCAAATGTGAAAGCATCACTCGTCTCTGAATTTCATGTTTACCACACCGAACAAAGACGTGTTCCACATAGAGCCCTGCACGGGCCAAAAATCTGAGCCCGTGTCCGGCCCAGCCCGACCCGGTCCGAAAAGGTTTTCAGGATTCTCTGGCCCGACCCGAGCCTGACTTTTCTTTAACCAACTAAATTAAAACAAAGTGCGTCAATCCTGACCAATGCGTTAAAAGACGTGCAGGATCCGATCAATTTGTTTTTCCCTCATTTACCGTCACGGAGATGACGGCGCACTGGCTCTGGTGGTAATCAAGTAAAATTATATCTCTTTCCAACAATTTTCACAAGAAAACAGAACAGTCAAAAGCAGGGCTTGTGTTGACCGGATAGTGTATTTGACCGTTTATTTTGACGGAGAAAGAATAGAAAGAATTACCCCGACGCATGCAGACGAACTGACATTTTATTCTACGCACATCGCAGATGTAGCTAAATCACCCAAGAAAAGATTCTCATCTGAACATCTGAGCTAGACACTGCTCAGCGCAGCTCGCTGTCAGTGCGTATGTGCATAGCGAGCTGAAGATGTGGAGAGGGGCTTGGAGCGCGTTGCAGAACCAGAGCGCATGCGGGAAGCTTCCTCCCACTGAAGCGAGTGTTTTCCAAACCCTGTCTCTCAGAGAGACTTGTCACTTAGAAAATGTTCCCTGATTATGAAACTTTGGCTGAATAGTGCTTGTTCCTGTCTCCAATGTGGCGACACATCCAGGAGGAGAAGCCCAGAATCTCATATCCTCTTCAGCTCATAAGCGCATATGATTACGCACAAGCGTGGCCCATCAACCCAGTCTCACAGTAAGACTGGGTTGGACCTGTTCAGGTTTACGCAGACAATCTTTACATAGAATTGACTTACAGATATAAAATTAATTCAGTAAAATATAAAGCATTTTATTTAAATATCCATTCATTATTTTACAAGCACAGAGAGCCGCATTAGATTCAGATCAGCGGGAAGATTCCTCCGACTGAATTCAGTCGGAGGAATCTTCCCGCATGCGCTCTGGTTCTGCGACGCCCTCCAAGCCCCTCTCCACATCTTCAGCTCGCTGTGTACCTTATGTAGTGCACGCTGACAGCGAGCTGCGCTGAGCAGTGTCCAGCTCAGATGTTCAGATGGGAATCTTTTCTTGAGTGATTTAGCTACATCTGCGATGTGCATAGAAAAAAAATATCAGTTCGTCTGCATGCGTCGGGGCAATTCTATCTTTCTCCTTCAAAATAAACGATCAAATACGGGAACTATCCAGTCAACACAAGCCCTGCTTTTAACTGTTTTGTTTTCTTGTGAAAATAGATAAAATTAAACTTGATTAACACCAGAGCCAGGCGCACTGCGCCGTTATCTCCGTCACTGTAAATGAGGAAAAATCCTTTTCTGACCTTCCCCACCTACAAAGTTTAATTACAACAATCAAATGTGACAGAGCCTAGATTTGTATTCTGAACAGTCTAAACATGTTTTAAAAAGAAACGTATGACAAAAGTGGCACCTTGTCATGTTGTGTGGTAGATACCTAACCCACGACATACAGAATCAGTCCACAGAGTCAGAGAAGATTGCAAACAATAATTTATTAGTAAAAGGAGAACAGAAGGAGCTGCTAGGAAGTCTAGCAGTATTCGGCAGAGAAGCGAGGTTCGGGTGTGGAGAGTCTGGAGGAACAGGGAGAGTTAGGTCTGGCACTCGGAAATCTGAATGTTGGATCTGATGGAACTTACGGATTGGAGGTGAGACCTCTTGAGAGAGGGAGGAGTGACTGGTCTGGGGAGGGCAGGAGGCTTACTGGAGGCAGATGAGCTTAGAGTCCAAATGAGGAGGAAGCTGAGCATGGAGGGTAATGATGATCCAGGAGGGAGGGTGGGCAGCCTGGAGTGGGAAGACCAGAGGAGGTCGCTGAGAGACGAGTGGACAGTGAAAAATCCAGGTTGGTAGCAGCAACGAGATGAACTGATAGGAGATATCTGCTGGAGGCGAAACAGGCAGTCAAAAACACAGAGAGCTCAAAAATCCATATATTCAGAAATTCTCAAGATCAAAGCTTAAGTTGAGTTGGCTGTTAGGAGAAATACCCAAGTCGAGTTCATCATCTAGCGAAGTGAAGGCGTCTCTCAAGAGCTTAAATATCCCTGGCCAGCTAATCAGCAGATTACCTGCAGCCTCCCCACTTCCAGGCACGCCCACCTGCAGAGGAGAGATGAGACTCAACACCAATTAGAGTGTGAAAAAAGCCCAGACCGTGACACACCTGCTCAGTAAAACCACCAACAGGGTGAAAAATATCAAAATATTGTAGGCAGAGACGGGCTACAACTTCTGGATCCACTTTATATAAATCGTTTTATTTATCTTCTTATGAACGATAACTTTGACGTGCACGAGTGACCGTTACTGGCTGCTGTCTGAGGGTAGGCCCCGCCCACAACGTCGCGGCTGCTGTGGCTCCCAGTGTTTTCTTTACTGTGGGAAATGGGTAATAATGGCTCTTTGATGGGAACAGGTTGCCGACCCCTGGTTTAAGTGTTTCAATTTTTTTTTTTATGAATTCGATTAAAAATAAAGGCGCCCGGCCCGGCCCATGTCCAAGGTAATTACACAGTCATTGGCCCGAAGCCCGGCCCGAGGGCCGTCGGGCCGGGCTTCGGGCCGACCCAAGGGCCTAGGGCTTCAGTGCAGGGCTCAAGTTCCACAGTCTCCTCAACTCCCCACCATTTGCACAGGCCGTCTGGGGTTTCCCCACCCTAAAAAGATTGTACAGTACATATCCTGCACAGCAGCGCCTCCCCTCATCTACTCAAACCTGCTGGCCTAACCACTACCACCCACTTCTGGCATCGGTACAAATACCTGCCCTTCGACTCAGCATCCCACTCCTTTTGCCATGGATCCCTGCTGACCCTCCTAGCCACACTTTTGCCCTCCAACCCATCAAAGGCACCCTCACTTCCACAGCCTCTCTTGTCGTAGCCTCCTTTGCCAATCCATCCGCCATTTCATTTCCCAGAAATGCCCACATGAGCCAGAGTCCACAACATCACCATTGTTTTATTTTACCTATCCTGTGTGTGTGTGTGTGTGTGTGCGTGTTTCTCCACTTTAGCACGCCTGCTTTCAATAAATGGGCAATTACAGCTGTTTCAGGTGTGCTGAACAGGTATTTTAATATAATAATAAGTCTTCCAGGAAGAAAAACAACTGAATCATGCAGAATAGTGGCCTTCAGTAAAATAAATCTGAACATATTACTAAATAAATAAAAATATTTAGACTAGCAGATTTAAAAGGGGGGAAGCTATTCTGACAGAATAAATTATTTGTGAAAACTCTTTTTTTGTTTATTACATTGCATGAAGCAATAAAGAATCAGCAGCCAGCATGAAGGCTGTTATCTGTTGTTCTGTTCTTGAGTTTTAATGAGTTTGGTAAACTGTTCTGAAAATCCCCTCTACTCCGTGTCAGATTTCCTCCTATTGATGAATACTTCAGAGTAACATCGGGCCTGGAAAATTTGGGTCAACGAGCAGAAAAGTAGGCTTTTCTTCGGTGAGAGCAGGGAAACAGGTGGGGGTCGCCTTGACCCAACATTCCCAGTGATAATAAGTCATGGGTGTGCGGGTGACTCTGTTCAGAGTATTAGGTGACAAAGGCACCTCAGTATAAGTCATAGCTGATTGATGGGATCTACTCCACCTTCGTCGCTCCATCTGTCGTGAAAGCCGCTCCTCTCACGTGGCCTAGGCAACAAGCTTTTTCCATAGGACTGTTGCCAGGGTAACGTAGAGGCAGAGCATCAGCGTGGAGAGGAAAAAGGAAAGTGCAAGAGATGAGGGAAAGGAACAGAGCTGAGAGAAGACAAACAAGGAGAAATGGGGGGAATAATGAGGATGAAGGTGTGTGGGGAGTTAGAACAGATGCTGATCTTTGCTGAGATCCCATCTGCTATGAGCTCAGGAAAAGGTTTGTTCTACTGCCCACTTGCTTTAAATGTAAAAAAAAAAGTGTTGTATTGCCAACAGATTTTTTAAATAATAAAATAAATAATAATAGAGATTGTAAAAATTCATACAGCTGTTCTACTTGTGGATGGCAGGATTCAACTCAAGATTTCTTTAAAAAACACTAAAAGGTTCACATTAGATTAATGTAAAACACAACAATTTCAACTTTGTCACTGGCTCTGACTCAATTTTATCAGTCAAACCCAAACAATAGAGGGAGAAGGTCAGATTAGGGATGGGAGTTTATCTTTTGAGGCCATAGCACCGTTTCTGTGTCAGCGATGGGAACAAAAACACATTCAGAGAAATCACACAGGCAGCAGCTGAGCTCTGGTGGAAAGAGAAATCTGGGTGTGATGATTATGAATCACGCTGTTCTTACAAATGAACGCTGTACGGTGGCCATGAGTAATAGAACACCATCATCTGTAGAGGCAGTTTTCCTGTCGTCTGCAGAATGTAAGTTTGGTTTTGCGATAAGTCGGCCCAAGTTACAGGCGTGATTCTTAAAAACAGCCAAAGAACAAATATTCAGTTATCTGAGACTTGTGTCGTCACAGAAAAATATCAATATGGTGATGATCTGCTCTTCTTCAAGCTGGCAGCTGTGGCTGACATCGTTTTTCTAAACCAGGGACTTCTTTCCCACAGGTAACCTGTTGGTGATCGCCTTTGTCAGCTACTTCGGGGCCAAGCTCCACAGGCCAAAGATCATAGCCATGGGCTGCGTTTTGATGTCCATTGGTACCTTCATCATCGCTCTGCCGCACTTCATCATTGGACGGTGAGCAGTGATTTTATTTAATGTGTTTCCATTGCCCTTGTTTATGTGCATACTGGGTGAAAAACGCTTTCTTCACCTCTACACTGCATGGATTAAACCTCTTTTCAGGAAAGTGTGGAGCTCACAGCTGAAGCGAGGCTTTTTTCTCCTGTCCGGGTTTGAACGGTGTGCATGTTTGTGTGCAGCTATGAATTTGAAACATCAGTGAGGTGGATGATGAACTCAACCCTTGACTCATCTCCATGTCGGGGGGCTTCAGCAGTCGACCTGACACAAGATGCTGCACTGCCTCAGGTGCCATCCACAAGTGAGTGTTTGAACACACGCGACACCAAAATGCATCCATCACTAGTACTTAAGAATATAAAGCTGATGTTTATGCTGTTTCCTTCCAGGTTGTGATGGTGACTCCAACTTGTCCATGTGGATCTACGTGCTCCTGGGGAACGTCTTGCGGGGGATCGGAGAGACCCCTGTTCAGCCCCTGGGGATCTCATACATAGATGATTTTGCCTCTGAGGAGAATGCTGCACTATATGTTGGTAAGAAATGTAGAAACTAGATGTTTCAGAGTTACTGGACATGAGATGCGTCACACTAAGGTGCTGTAGATGACAATTGTTTCTGTGACATTTTAGTTGTTACCCTCAAAAATGGTTGACATCCACAATGAGGTAATAACTCTCAAGTCTTATTGACATCCCTAATTATAATAATTCCAGAAACAGCAGGCAAATAAAAATTCATTTTAAAAATGTTAACTGTTGTCATGGTAACAAATCCTTCCCATGGTTTCAGATCATTTCTGTGTCAGACAGGAAAGCCAGTATGTCACTTGTGAGTGTGTGTGTGTGTGTGTGTGTGTGTGTGTGTGTGTGTGTGTGTGTGTGTGTGTGTGTGTGTGTGTGTGTGTGTGTGTGTGTGTGTGTGTGTGTGTGTGTGTGTGTGTGTGTGTGTGTGTGTGTGTGTGTGTGTTTAAAAGCTTTTTGTTTAGTCTATCAAACATCCTGACAGAAGCAGCAGGCGGCTCACTGTTGTCTCAACTCCTGTCTCTGATGAAGTCACACGGCACCCATGAAAGGGGCAAAAGAACCAAATAAACAAAAACTTACCGACTTGTTTCCCAACTGAAGCAAAATCTATCCATCCAATCAGTCATCGTTGTCCGCTTATCCGGGGTTGGGCCGATGGAACAGCAGTCATGTAAAACTAAATTAAAAAATAAATAAAATGGGATGATGAATAATGTGGAAGTATGACGCTTTTCAGTCTTTCAGTTATCTTTTATACATTTGCTAAATATCTAATGAAAATTCTGAAGTGTGGGCCAAAACAAACCTAACTGCAGGATACAGTAACATCATAAGCCCCGCCCATCCCATATAAAAAACAGGATATCTTTCTGATGAAAAATTTGAATGAAACTTACAGTTACTGATTTTTGTTCAGTCGCATGTTCTTGTATAATATCTTTTATTTAATGTTTAAAAAATATATGATACCATGGAGGTGACTTTCCATCCCACACGTCCTAAATGTGTCGCAACTGGTTTAGAAAGCATGGCAGCACCTGTAAATGTGATCAACAATAGGAAAAAGCAGAGATGTTCCACATGCTTTCAGCCACCACAGTCTATTGTTTAACATGCTGCTGCATCATTTCTAACAGACATCAAGATATCTCTGTTGGAGACAGAAGCTGCAACACTCAAGTCACGAGTCCTTTACCAGATTGATCATGAGACGTTCTTTTATCACATGAGAGAACAATAATTAAATGTTGAGCTTTAGTTTCATTGACAGTGAATCCAGTCTTCTTTGTAGCCTAATGCTTTAGAAAAAAATGTATTTCTTGCAGAAAACGCTGCCGTTTGCAACGTTGTTGTTTAATTATACCCCCCACCCCCTCCACCCAAGCATGAGCGATTCATCTCTGGATTTCTACTAAACCAGATTATGTGTATTATTGAAAAGGGACTTTCTTACCCAGCAGGGCAAAAAACGTGGTTTGCCACAAAAAATTAGGCATTTACAGTAAAGCATTGTGTATAATTTGTGATTAAGCAGTTGAGTTTATTAAGGTCCTAAGCTTTTTTCCTGTGTTATCTCATCACAGGCTGTGTGCAGACTATCTCTGTGGTTGGCCCCGTCTTTGGATACCTCCTGGGTTCCCTTTGTGCTAAAATCTATGTGGATATTGGATATGTGAAAATGGGTGAGATTAACACATTTTATTTGCCACTGCATGTTATCAGGGAAAAATGTAAAATGTTGGTTTTTAATCCCTCTTTGCAGCCTTATAAATTGCTCTTCTGGAGGATATTGCAGAAAGTGGTTCATGTGTAATATCTCAGTAAATGCACTTTTAGGAAAATGTTTCTGTTTTTGAAAGAGAGTTAAGTGGAGTTCTGAGTCTATTGCCATGGCAACAGATCGTGTGTATTAAACATGATTTCTTTAGGAAAACCTGAGTTTCTACTGGCTCACTTTAACCTGAAGTGAACCAAACAGTCTGACTGGTACTAAAGCAGATTTTCCCACATTTTTACTTAGATTTGATTTTCTTTTTATTCCCAGATAAGCGTTTAAAATATGTTCATTCAGTTGTCTCCATTCAATTCAATTGAATTAAATTCAGTTTATTAAGATAGAAGATTTAAGTAGTCACCCCAATGTGAGCATTCCAGTCGAACCTACTTATTAGTTGAGTTTAATTCATTATGCCAGTTAGTTAAATGTGTCCTATACAAGAAACCCCAGAAGATTGCATCGAGTTTCTGACTTGCTGTGTCAGTGACTTTGCAGCAATCTGTGAATGCTTACATGATGTATTCAATAAAAAACATGGAAACATAATTATTTGTGTGATGTTAGTTTAAGCAGACTGTGACTGTTTATTGATGAAGATCAGATCACATTTTCAGGCCAATTTGTGCAGAAATCTATATAATTCCAAAGGGTTCACATACTTTATTTTTGACTGGGTCCTACCTGCTATTATTCAGGTGGATTGTACCTAAATGCATTTTTATTAAATCCATCACCTTTTCATGCTACATCTAGAGGTGAGAATATATGTCAAACCCGTGAAGTTGTGCCTTCAGTCTCATGCATTGACTCAAGCAATAATTTTCTCCCATAGTGCCTCTTTCACCTTGGCTGTTATTGCCATGATAGATTTTTAAAACCCATGTCACCATATTCTTAATGTGTTTGAAGGAAAACCTCCTGATACAGAAGCATACAGTGGGTACAGAAACATTCAGATCCCATCAATGTTTCACTGTTATGTTGCAGCCATTTCAAAACTCAACTAAAATCATTTTTTCCCTCATTTATATACACCCAGCACCCCATATTGGCAGAAAAACAGAATTTTAGAAATGTCTGCAGATGTATTAAAAAATAAAAACTGAAACATTACATGGTTCTAAGTATTTGGACCCTTTGTTCAGTCTTTAGTAGAAACACCTCTTTGAGCTAATACATGAGTCTTCTTGGTACAGATGCAACAAGTTTCTTACACCTGGATTTAGGGACCAGCTGCCAGTTCTTCTTGCAGATCCTCTCCAGTTCTGTCAGGTTGGATGGTGAACATTGGTGGACAGCCATTTTTAGGTCTCTCCAGAGATGCTCAAATGGGTTTACATCAGGGTTCTGGCTGGGCCGTTCAAGAACAGACACAGAGTTGTCGTGAAGCGACTCCTTCGTTATTTTAGCTGTAATCTGGAGAAGCTTCTTGTCCAGGATATCCCTGTAATTTTCCGCATTCATCGATCCCTCAGTTGCACATTCATCCAGTCCCTGCAGCTGATAAACACCCCCAGAGCATGATGCTGCCACTGCCATGCTTCACTGTTGGGACTGTATTGGACAGGTGATGAGCAGTGCCTGCTTTTCTCCACATATATCGCTTAGAAGTAAGGCCATAAAATTCTATCTTGGTCTCATCGGACCAGAGAATCTTATTTATCACTATCTCGGAGTCCTTCAGTTGTGTTTTAGCAAACTTCATGCAGGCTTTCCTGTATCTTGCACTGAGGAGAGGCTTCCAACGGGTCACTCTGCCATAAAGCCCTGACTGGTGGAGGTCTGCAGTGATGGTTGACTTTCTACAACTTTCTCCCAGGTCAGCCACAGTGATATTTGGGTTCTTCCTTACCTCTCACCAAGGCTCTTCTCCCCCAGTAGCTCAGTTTGGCCTGCTCTAGGAAGGGTTCTGGTCATTCCAAAGGTCTCCCATTTAAGGATTATGGTGGCCACTGTGCTCTTAGGAACCCTAAGTGCAGCAGATATGTGTTTGTAACCTTGGCCAGATCTGTGCCTTTCCACAGTTCTGTCTCTGATCTCTTCAGGCAGTTCCTTTGACCTCGTGATTCTCATTTGCTCTAACAGGCATTGTGAGCTGTAGGTCTTGTGTAGACAGGTGTGTGGCTTTCCCAATCAAGTCCAATCAGTATAATCAAACACAGCTGGACTCCAGTGAAGGTGACCATCTCAAGGCTGGTCAGAAGAAATGGAAAACACCTGATTTAAATATGAGTGTCACAGCGAAGGGTCTGAATACTCAGGACCATGTGATAGTTCAGTTTGTCTTTTTTAATAACTCTGCAGAAATTTCTAAAATTCTTTGTTTTTCTGTCAACGTGGGGTGCTGTGTTTACATTAATGAGGAAAAAAATAATTTAATAAATTTTTGCAAATGGCTGCAATATAACAATGAGTGAAAAATTGATGGGGGTCTGAAAACTTTCTGTAGCCACTGTATAGCCATGTTTTCTTTCTTGCTGTTGCCATGGTCAGTCAAGGTATTGGGGAGTGTATTGGCCTTACATTGTCCTTAAAATTCCTCATCCCTGAACCAAAACCTCTGTGTTTTATTGCTTACATGAAATTAACTCAGGCTTTATTAATAATATTTGTCTAAAATACCTCCTTAATCATCTGTGAGGAAAACGTATGTGTTGCATCCTTAATCAGCAAACACAACCAAAAAAATGCTTATTAAGTAGAATGATTGACATTCTTTGCAAAATTTAAGTAAATAATGTAAATTTTCTTTTCCTCCCTTGGAACAACATTTGAAACTAAAACTGTAAATATTTGAAGGTAAAAGTGCATTAATGGGAAAGATCTTGGTGTCTTGCATGCTGTTGTGGGTTGCTGGACAGGGTTTTCTTGGAAACGGGGTCATTCTTTTCAGCATTTCTTTCTAACTCTGCATGTCATGTTATTGGCAAGGCCGTTGTGTTGCATAGCTATTGTTAGCAGCACCTGGACTGCTATCCCCATTATAGGTCAAAAGGTCACCTGTAAATAAAAGGTCTTTTCATTCATAAAACCAACAGACAATGTCAGTAGATACAAGTGGATCCCAATCGGTGTGTGCACAATTCACCACTCTGAGCAGGTGTGTGGGACTAATATCAATTAGCTAATGATGGTGGCCAGCTGAGGGAGAAGAGGGACAAAGGCCTCTGACAGGCAATAATCAAATAGAGTGCACCAAGGGGATGGATGTGAAAGAAAGGAAATAGGTGATGGAAGAATAATTGGCATTTAAGAAATACTACGAAAGCAGAAAGACAAAAAATAAATTAATTTATAAAAACTTTAGAACCTCAAGTCTCTAATAAATGCATTTTTTACTCAGATTGAAAAAAAATCATTTAGACTTTTTCTTTTCTGCTTCTCTTTTTTTTTTTTTACTTGATTTGGTGCTTTGGCAGTCAAAAAAGATGGATAAACTGTTGCTAGGCAAGAACTAAAACTGGTTGTTACAACAGTCTGTGGTTGGCAATTAGTTTTTGCCAACAATTTATCTAAGGCCATGTGCACATGTAGCTGGGTTTTGTAACTCTAGATATCTTCTTCCACCGATGTAGGAAAAAAACTTGGATCGACGACCTCATTTTCTGCAAAAAAAATTCTAGTGCATTATGAACAGCGTTGAGGAGTAAAGGAATGCATGTATCCACAGTACATATTTAGAATACCAATTATGGGTAATTGTATTCTGTTACAATTACTTTCATAATACCATTGGAATAGTTGTGTGTTTTTCATTTCCACCAAAATGAATAAATACATTTTCGGCAATGTGTGTCTCTGCGTTGTGTAGAATATTTAGTCTGGCCACGGTTCATTGACGGCTCTCAGTCGTGAAGGAGAATCTACTGTTTTCAATTAAACTGTCTCCACATGTTACTGGATAACAAACAACATAACATACTAACCGCTATGGATGTCAATCAACAAGGCAGTCCATCATACCCCTTCAAAGAAAATGCAATTAAATCCTTTTTCATAAACTTAAGTACCTCTGCCTGATCTTGACTCAAAGAAAAACTTAAGTTAAAATAGGGCTTGTGATAGTGGCATCATCACCGACACGATCACCCTGTGGGCGGCCCACGAGCTCTTACTTGTTACTACTGTAAACAGTGCGCTCAGTCTCATTCTTGCAGCTTAATTCAACCTATTATTCATTTGATTGGTTATATTACACAACCATGGTAAATCGTTTCTCTGCTGTGGGGTGCAACATGCAATTGCCATGGAAAAGTAGCAGGTTGGACCAAAATCTAATTAACAGCATTCCCTGCTGGAATAGCATTGCATGCTGGACCAGCTTACTACCTGTATCCAAAACACAGCATGTGTTGGTTTTGTCAGCAGGGCATAAATATTCATTTTTAGTGTGACGCAGATGTGACTGGGTTTTCTAATCCGAGCATTTCCCCATCTACTTCCTACCAGCAGCTAATGTAGGGGGAGAAGACTATCTTCACATTCAGCCTGTATGTGGAACTCAGAGCAACCTACCAATAAAAATAATAAAGTGAAAAATGGTTCCTCAGTGAATTTGGTCTTTAACATCGTCCTTTGCCTGTAGTTGTGTACATAGATCAGTGAAGCAGCAGTAAAAACAAGTGAGTGTAAACAAAGGTAACACATATGATGTCATGAGCATTTTTGTCCTGGGCAGTGACGTTGTTAAACCTAACCTCCAGTTATTTACCGCCTCAAGCAAATGCTGACAAATGAGAATTCACAAGTCTCCTCCTTGGTCTGACGTTTTTGAAAAAATTGTTTTTGGTGCTTTATAAATGAACTTTTGTGAGGATGACAGGCAAAGCGTATCTTTGTTTTGCTGACTAAGCCTTTTAGGGAGTATGGAGACCTAAGAACATACCCTGATAGGACCTGTATGCATACCATTGATAAACCTTAGGGTCACAGAATAGTGACCCCATGTTAAGGCTCCTACATAGTATTCAAAACTGCAGATCCTATGAAAGGATATCAATGCATCATCATAACTAACCGAACCTTTTGTGTTCTTGGTACCAAACAAGTGAACAGCATCTTTCTTGGACCACTTTTTAAAAGTTTGTGATGGACCAAAATGATGTGTCTTTTGGACTGGTCTGTTTTGCCTTCATGTTGGTGGTTGGTTGGTTTATATTTAACATTCAGCCCATGTTTAATAAAAACCATTGCAAATTTTCACCCTTCGTTACCTACATCTCCCTCTCTGCATCCCTTCACAGAGACCATCACCATTACCCCAGCAGATGCCCGTTGGGTGGGAGCCTGGTGGCTGGGCTACCTCATAGCTGGAATCATCACCCTGCTCTCTGCCATCCCATTCTGGTTTCTGCCCCGTTCTCTACCAACATCTGAGTCTCGGCTTCCACAGAACTGTACTCAGGAGCAGACTAGTTTCATCAAAAATTCTCCGCATCCAAAGCATAAGTACCAAGCAGAGGAGCATACCAACTTTCTAGAAATGGCTAAAGGTACAGACTTGCAAAACAAGGGCTTCCCAACAAACAGGCGTACTGTGTTTAACTGGAACGTATAGCCTTCTAGGCAGAAATCACTTTTGACAGTGATTTTTGTCTTCCACAGATTTTATCCCGACTTTGCGGACTCTTCTGGGCCACCCCGTGTATCTGATCTACCTGTGTGTGACAGTCATTCAGCTGAACTCTCTCATTGGCATGGTCACCTACAAACCCAAGTACATTGAGCAGCATTTCAGGCAGTCTGCCTCAAAAGCCAACTTTCTGATGGGTATGGAGGATGTTTCATGACATTTTGCTCATTGTCAGATATAGTTTGCTACAGCCTGGAAAATTATTTAGAAAAAGACCCAGGGAAGCCTCATCTAAGGCTGAGAATATGCATGCTTTAAATCAGACGTACATGTTTATCATGGCCACCTCATGTAACTTGCATTTGTTTGAAACCTTGTTTGTGCACGTCCTCTGACAATAACGTGACGCATTCACAAGCTGTGACAAATGTGAGAGTAAGTTCAATTGTCTCATTGGCAAAACGCGCAAGAAACACTTGTCACACTATGTCTGGTTTAGAGTTCTTACATACGAGTCATGGACGAATCTCCTGCTCAAGTTTCGTATGCAGCCCAAGTAACATATTTGACCAAGCAGTTAAATGAAACAGCATTTTACTCCCCATTCAACCAGCAAAATAAAGGACAGAAATGACATTTTGCTTACTGATAAAAATAAGATGATGTTGATGATCTGTTACTGCAGTCAGTAACTACAGCTTGCCCTCTTTGTCCACATAATTCAATAATTAACATCCAAACACGAACACACTGAGGACACAATTAAAGTTCAGAATCAAAATGGCCGAACATCCATTAACGTGAGGCCCAGGCTGAGGCCTTTCCCCGGAGCTAGCTCCCACCGCTAGCTCTGGCTCTGACATGGATCTGATGCTCATTAATTATTCAGGATTTTATGCATTTAATTACACTTAAACAGAAGAGTTACAAAAAAAAGTCACCCCCTTCAGAGTTGAATGTAAACCAGATCTATTAAACCTAAAATGGGTGTTTGAACCAGGCTGTAAACATATTTATTTCAGTTGTGAAATGGACATTTTTAACATGGGCGTGAACAACGATTTGCTCACTTCTGGTGCCAGCCCCTAGTGGATAAAGTTGGAACAGCAATTTTTGCCACTTTCGTGTTGGCTTCAGGTCTGAGAGCCTGGGTGTGTTTCTCATTGTCAAGGCGCCTGTCCTCGCACAGGCGCCTTGCCTACGAGGACACTGTCCTTCCTTGGTCAAAGAAAATGTGGCGGTCATGTAATGTCACGTGACACGGGAGAGAACATCATATTTTTTACGTATAAATTGAAATATAAATAAATAATGAGCCTTTTACTTTTTAAATTGTATATATACTGGTTAAATTAAATGTGTAAGCAAGTTACTACCTGCTAGCCACCACAGCTGCAGCTACTAAGCCACTAACTAACCATAGCTAACTGCTTTGTATATTAAAAAAAATACATTTTAGATGTCAGTCCGATATCTACAATTAGTTGACTTACATTTAAACTTGAAAATTTTCCCTGAAGTAGCTGCCGGCTTCTGATCTGCCATCCTTTGGAAAATACTGCTATGAATTCTGGGAAATTTTTGACCAAGGCCAGGCTACAAGGCACCTCCCATGTATCCTTACTCAGCTAGCTAAACGGCTAACAAACGGAGAACAGATGCTTCGGTAGAACATGAACATTGGAACACGCCATAGCGGTTCCTGATGATGTATCTCCTAGGCAACCTGGGCAGGACTAAAACATCAAGGCGAGGTTCCTTGGCACTGAGAAACACCCTTGGGTTCCCCGTGGTTTGTAACCTAGTAATCCAGTGCTCTATCAGGTCTGAGTTCTGTACTGCGCCCCCAAGCTGAATCATCCAGCACTACAGGCAGTGCAGCAGCAAGTATGTCAACAAGAAGCAATCTGCTGTCTGCATCAATGTGAGATTAAAAGCATGTTCCCAGTTCCCAGATGTTTGTTACTCTCACAGAAATCTAACCATCAAAATTCAAAAGTATATTTCTACAGACCCTTATTAGAGGACAATGTTATAGAACAGGGCTATATTATAAATCGACCAATCAGCTGCCATTGCTGCGATGGTGAGAGCTTGATGAGAATGCAAACTGCTCAGCACATGAAATAAAATACTTAATGAAGCTGAAAGCATCATTTGAAAAACTCATGGAGTCTCATTAGTGGAGATGCCTGCTTTGACCAGATTGGATGCATATGAAAGAGAATGTAATATTGGTGACCAGAGCTAACGACATGTATAGATCAAAGAACACATTTTTGCATTGATGCTAGAGGAAAGCATAGTAGCAAAAATATGGTGGTTCGATTTTTGTTTTTCAAGGCTGTTTATTTATTTTGCAGCAGAAAAAGTATCAGTAATAAAATTAGACACTTGTGTTCACTGCTGGACAAAAAGCATTTATTTCAGAAATTTCACATCTTTGTTCATTTATCAATCATTGATCATGATTTGTGATGCTTTTTTTACAACCTCAGGTGTGATCAATATCCCTGCTGTGGCATTGGGGATGTTTTCTGGTGGTCTGCTGATGAAGAGGCTTAAGCTGAACATCATGGGAGCAGCCAAGTTAGCTTTTGGCACCTCCCTGATTGGTTACATCTTGTCACTGTTTTTCTTTGCAATGAGTTGTGAGAACGCAAAGGTAGCTGGAGTGACGCTGCCGTATAACAGGTGAGCCACGTAACATCCAGGCTAAAAATCTTTCAACTTTATCTAGAAATCTTTCCTTCCTTTTGGGAATCTTAGACGGAAAGAGTAAAGCTATCAGAATGTAAATTAACACAGTATATATAGAGAGTCAAAAAATGGATAAAATGAATGAAGAATTTTAGTGCACAGAGAAGTACAAAAATGACAAGACTACGTATAAATTTATTTGAACTGCACTGAATTAGTCAAATCCCATTAACTCTTGTTTTGTTCTATTTTCTTCAGCATAGATGAGTTTTCTTTTGACAAACACTCCGTGTTCACAGCCTGCAACTCAGACTGTTTGTGTTCAGCGAGTGAGTGGGACCCAGTGTGCGGGGAGAACGGCATCACATATGCATCTCCATGTCTTGCTGGTTGCACTACGTCTACAGGCTCGGGGAAGAACACAGTGAGTTCACACAGGTCAAATATATGTAATACTTTTTATTGGTCAACGACTAATCATGTGTCAACCGCTGAGGGGAAGGACGCAGTACAGAACTCAGACCTGATAGATGTAAAGGTTTGGTTCATTGAGAAATGCTAAATAAAGTACTAGAAACCATTTTTTTGTTGTTATTTTTTAAAAATATGATCGGTCTCTCTGAATTTCACATAGAGGCTGAATGTGAAAATAGTCTTCAACCCCTATTTCCTGGATTAGCTGCTGAGAAAATCAGTGAAGAAACAGTCAGATAAAGCGACACAGCTCTTGATCACACTGTAAATAAGCTTTCATGGACTTGCCCACTTTGGCTTGAGACCAGGGAAAGCTGTTGTTGAATAAGCAGAGTGTGTCTTGGCTAGTAGAAGCAAACCATTAGCAATAGCAAGTCAACAACAGGGCAGAACTGTTATGATCAGAACTTGAGGACCCTTGAGGACCCGTGAGGACACCAAGACACAGCAAGGCGCTGTAATGTCTTTATTAAAAGAAAACCACAATTAAGTGTTACCAGAGGTGGGCAAGGCTGAGGCAGGATCAGGAGGAAGCATGGGTCAAAACCAGAGAGATCTGTGTATGGTACAAGGGGCCGGCGGGAGGTGGAAGCCAGAGAACGGTCCGAGGTCAAGAATCCAGGCAGGCTTAGAGGCAGTATTCCAGGCAAGGGTTAGACGACAGGGGAGTTCGGTAAACTGGAGCGGGGTCAAGATCTGAGTCAGGTTCAGACGAGAGTACTGTAGAATCTACTGGCGTGAGCTTTCAATAATCTGGCACTGGCTTGGTGTTAGTCCTAGTGTTTTATAGGGAGCGTTGCAGGTGGAGCTGATGAGGAGTTGATGCGAGACAGGTGGTTTGGATGAGGTTGATGGTGAAGCTGGTTGTGGTTGTTGGGGAAACAGGGCTTGGCTGGAGCAGGGGCATGACAAGAACTTTTTTAGACTTTGTGAAGACATCAGTGTTGCAGAGCGAACGGAGGCAGGGGAAGAGTCCTATTGCTGTTAGCCAGTCAGAGGTGAGATGTTCGCATATCTTGTATATTAACGAGTAAGAATTCAAATCCTGCCGTTTTCTGTCCCCCGCTTCCCCAGGTGTCTTCTTCTTGAACAGGAGAGCAAGAGCTTTTTTAGCGTTGTTGAGCATTACAGTAACAGAGCTAATGGCGTGTGGTTGGGCTTCATAGTACCAGGATGCAGTCAGAAATCCAGCATAGGCAGATACATTAAAGAGCGACTTCTGTAATTTAACATTAGGCCCAGAAGCCTGTATCCTATACCCTCATATGTAATCCCCCTGGACAATCCGTTTTTTTTTTTTGTGCCCTAGACTGTAGGATTGCCTTTAAAGTCTGAATAGCAGGATAGAATTAAATCTGGCACATTTATATGCAATTTTATCATTTTTAAGACAATGTTCCTCAGCTTTTTTATGCACATTTCCATTAAATGGTTGTAGGGAATGTTGGGGAAACTCAGTGTTCAGATCTCCCAAACCATTGCAAAGGTGAAAACCGTGAAAACAGTAGGCCCCCACTAAACAACCCTAGTTCCTGTACGATCCATGTGTGTGACTGTGCATGTCTCTCCAGGTCTTCTGGAACTGTAGCTGTGTCGGTGTGGCCGGTAACTTTACAGCCAGTGCGGGTCAGTGCACTGACAAGGACAACTGCGACAGGATGTTCTCGTACTTCCTGGCTCTCTCTGTCATCACTTCCTTCATCATCTCTCTAGGGGGCACTCCGGGCTACATGTTTCTCATCAGGTTAGACTCCGATTTAGAAATAAGATGTAAAAATAGGTACAAGTGAATTATTTTAAGGTTGTTATTCCACTTAATGTTCATTGAAGTGCACTGAGCTGTGGTACATTAGTTCAGTAATCTCCTGACTGAGTTTGTGCCTCCCCTTATGTCATTTTCCAAATCAAACAATTTCACTCCTCTTGTGCTTAAATCCCTTTAATTTGTGATTCAATTCAATTCAAGTTTATTTATATAGCGCCAAATCACGACAAGAGTCGTCTCAAGGCACTTCACATAATAAACATTCCAATTCAGGTCAGTTCATTAAGCCAATCAGAAATAATGCTTCCTATATAAGGAACCCAGCAAATTGCTGTAAAGTCACTGACTAGTGTCAGTGACTTTACAGCAATCCTCATACTAAGCAAGCATAAAGCGACAGTGGAGAGGAAAACTCCCTTTTAACAAGAAGAAACCTCCAGAGAATCCTGGCTCAGTATAAGCAGCCATCCTCCACGACTCACTGGGGATCGAGAAGACAGAGCAGGCACGCACGCACGCACACACACACACACACACACACACACACACACACACACACACACACACACACACACACACACACACACACACACACACACAAGCACACGCACACGCACACACACACACACACACACACACACACACACACAAAGACAAAGTACTGTGTCAATAGTTATATTGTGATGTCTTCTATTTGGTGAGATAAACTTTATTGTATTTATCCTAGTGGATCTATAATTAAACTGATACACTAGTAGTAGCACATCAAAAGTCAAGGAAAGCAAAACGTTATTATCAGGAGAGGGAGAATGTTTAAGTGGTTAGCAGCAGTGTGCTAGACGATGGCCCCCTCCATGAGGCCACCACAGCTCAGCAGAACATCATTGTAGCTTCTTCTGGGGAGAAAAACACTTAGAGAGAAAATAAAGTTAACAGCTGAAATAGCAGGAAATAATAAAGTTAAAGAGCAGATTGTAGAAGAAAGTAGTAGAGCGTGAAAAGTGGTCAGTGTATCCTCCAGCAGTCTAAGCCTATAGCAGCATAACTACAGAGATAACTCTGGCTTTAATTTGTGATGCAAGCTGGAGAGACACTGAAACATAAGGAAAGACGAACTGAAGTAACAGGAATGATATTTCATGTCCAGTTCTCAGTTAAAGAGCATCAGGGACTAGAAATATTTTTCTGACATTCAAAAGCACTCTAGAATGATGGGATCACAGTTCAACAACACTGTGACCTCCTTTTTATATAAATATAAAATAATTTTATTTTTGGTAACACCAAGTTGGTGACACTAATCTTTCCAGCCCACACAGGAACAACTCTGATTGTGTAAACATGTCACACTGCTGAGCTGAACATGGGTAATCTGGTTATTTCTTTGCAGGAATTATTACTGAAATTGGGGCATTGTTTACATTCACAGCAGCATCATTTTTAAGAAAACATATTTCTTTACAAAGATGTTCTTTGTAGATGAACTCAATAGAACAACTTTGAGAATTTGTGGCATTCAATATTCAAAAAGCCGACTTTATTTTTTTTAATGATCTCAGATGCTGCAGCAGTGAAAATGAACATAACTGACAAGAAACCAGAGCAGATATCACATTTATTTAAATATTACTATTTCTTATACAAAGAAAATTACTTTTTATGGTGACCAGCTGTATTTTAGACAAGCAGTTTTTTTTTCATAAAATATAAATATAAATGTATGTAGTTATTGTTAATCAGGCAACGATAAAGGAAAAGGGTGGTGGTTTGGAAGCAACCAGAATGTCAAACAGATCAGGATGAATAAAGCATTGAGCGCCCCCTTGTGGTTGATTATCAGTACTCCTTACAGTCTGGTTAAAAGTTTATCTGATTAATAAAATATGGTGCTCATTAGATTTAGGTTAAATTTGACTTTTAATATGATTATTTTTTCGCAAAACCATTTTAAATTAATTCGTTGGCATATGCAACAAAATGTTATCAAAATCCTTTGTTTAAAAGAAAAGGTTAAAGACATTTTTTTTCTGAAGTACAGAATTGTAAATAGAAACCAGTGCAGCAGCCTCCACTGGTGTAATATCATATCATGTTCTCGTCTTTGGAAGAGAAGCAACAATGAAATTACATAATAATAATAATAATAATAATAATAATAATAATAATAATAATAATAATAATAATAATAATAGTAATAATAATATATGATGAGAACTACATTTCAAGTGGGAATGTGTGATATAATTGGACACTATTTGCATTAAAGTGTAATATCAGGAATTATTGGGTTTTACCCTTTTAATGACACAACTTTTCAATGCAAATATTAAATATCAAACACTTCAACTTCTCACTCATTTATAATGTCACAACATGATCTGATTTTTGCTTGTTTGGCACAACTGGCCACACTTAAATTGAAGTAGTTGTCATATTTTCTACAGATGGTGTTTGAAATGCATGAATGTTAGTAGCCTATATTCTGGTATTGGTTCATATCAGTAACATGAATTAAGAGTTAGGTTATATTGGTAAAAAAGCTGATGTCGGCATTCCCTAATTTCAAGGTTTCCTAAAGACATACTAGCTATTTGTTTAAATAGAACCTGACAGGAATGAAATGAACGTTTTTTTTTTTTGCTAATTGTTTGCTCATTCATAGTCTAAAGATCCCATAACTGGCATCAAATTTTTTTTAGAATATGTTTATAGTCATTTGATTGTTCCAGAATAAAGAAGCTATTTAGGAGACGGTTTAGTGAAAATGTTTAATTTCAGAGTTTCTCTGATTATCCATGCAGGTGCATCAAGCCACAGCTGAAGTCGCTCGCTCTCGGTTTTCATGCTTTAGCCACGCGGACCCTTGGTAAGTCCTCTTCAGCTCAGAGCTGAGATAAAACACTTTAACTAGAAGCTGCATGGTTTGCCCATAACATCAAGATTTTACCCATGTTATTAAAAGTAGAACCGCTGACCAGAAAGCATGTCAGATGTCTGATTGTAAAATGTGTTTTGATCCTGCAGCAGGAATCCCAGCACCCATCTACTTTGGAGCAATCATTGACACCACATGTCTCAAATGGGGTCAGAAGAGATGTGGAGGCTTAGGAGCGTGTAGAATCTACAACACCACCGCCCACAGGTAGCGGCATTGCTTTAAAATAAACATTTATTCATTCATTATTCACTCATGTTTTTGCCCACTCAAATAAAAGTGATCGCCTATTGACTACTTGGTTGGAACGAATGGGAAAAAAACACAAATACATCAGATGCAGCAAAACACTAAGGTGACAGGTGTGAGTAGGTCATCACAGATATGGGAGGAACAAGTAAAATAATTTGTGACCTCTTGAAATGAAAGATGCAGAGATGTGTGTCAAAACGGTGGTGCACACAGGTACTTTTTATTTATTTTATTTTTTTTTAATATTTTATTTCATTCAAAATGTATAAAATAAACACAAACAAATACAACATACATTAACATATTGGAAAAAACCATTTTAATGAAATGGAGCAGATAGAACTTGTATGTTCTGTGGATGTTCTTGGTCTAAATGTTTGAAAATCACTTAAGCCTGTGTCATAAAACAATGATGCCACTTTGCTGCAAAGCAATCTGATGTTTTCTGGTAAAGAATAACGCAATGGCGGTATTAAAGAGCAAGTCGCCCCCTACCAGATTCTTAACTTCCACCTTCTGTTTGAAAAATACAACAAATGCTGTTGCCTAGCAGACCGAGAGGGCGGAGCCACTAACAAATACACACACACACAAGCTCACAATGACATTGTGACATCATATGGTACCAGCTAATGTTCTAGGGTACCTCTTAGCCAATAGCGATGGCAGATTTAAATTCAAATGCAGTGCAGAGTTTTTACCTGACAACGGCACAGCACAGACAGTTTTGGGCAGAAAATAAAAATTTGAACTAAAATCCACTAAAGTGCAAAGCTATTGACTACACGTGTGTGCAGCACGATTAGACAAGCATTTATATAGTTTATCAGGAAAACAAAGTAGATTTGGGGGTGACTTACTCTTTAAAGAGGGTGTGGGGGTGGTCTTCGCTCTGTCGCAAACATCCCTTTAGCTCTGACGTAACATGTTTCTCATGAAGCCATGCTCCTTAAATTATTTTGGAAGCCTCTCCAAAAGGTGGCTGTCCGGGTCTCCAGGAACTGTCTTGTAATCTGTGCTTCAACTCTAATGGCCAGAAGCTTGTGGATCTCTGCACCACTCCAGTTGGCCACCTCGACTGATTCTGTTTACACGGCACATTCTCACACCTGAAGCGTCGAAAAATGGCGATGGGTGACCAAGCGTTTGTTTCCAGCGCGTCGAGAGGTTTCCGCTGCCCGCGGTAAAACACAGATTTCACCGACATTTAACATCTAACCTCTTGCTATTTGATCTTCCCCTCATGCCCATCCTAACCTTAACCCTGTTGCTCATTCTAAACTTCCCATTAACCGTGTTGGAGAGGGACGTTACAACTAGAAACAAAGTCTTGAAAGCGCAAGAGGGTTACGGTTAGGATGGGGTGAGGGGAAGGTTAAATGGCAAGAGGGTAAAGGTCGGAATTTAGTAAAATCTCTGTTTTACCGCTGCAGTCAGAAAACAACGCTCTGGCACATTTTTATGATGCTTCGGATGTGAGAATGTGTTGGTTTACAAATGTGAAATGGACTCTTCCTATTTACTTACATTTCAAAGCTGTTATACCACATTTGAAAACAGGCTAGTTTTTGAAGGCAAACACCATCATAGAACACACCCTTCCCCTTTGGTATCTCCCCTGAGACACTTCTGCTGGAATGGAACCCCACAACACCAGAAGAAAGGAGAGAGCGCTAAACACCAGTCACCGTTTTCTAGGTCCAAACATCTTTTGTTGTTTGTGACTTCAAATGATGTTTTTCTTTTTGGGACTCTGGTAGTTTTTCCTAAAGTTGAAGTGGTAGCAGCCGGCTGTTTCTCCTTCTCTGATATTATTAAGCGGAGAACCTCTCGCACCTGTGGTGTTCTGTAACTAAATATGCGAGTGTGCAATGAGTGGAAGACCCAGGCAAGTGCGGAAATGCAGCGGTTCAGTGAGAATAACAATGGCAAGGTGGAGAAACGAGGGCCTGGGCAGGATTCAATCCCCAGACTCCCGGGTGAGAGTCACGCGCACTAACCAGTCAGCCAAAGGGATGTCCCCGTGGCCAAGTAGCCAGGGCGCATGATCAACTGGGATGCAGTGACAGGACGCTCACCTTGACACATCTTCGCCCCTCTTTCCACAAGCATGTCCCTGAGCTCCCACACAGGGTGCCACAAACTTCAAATCCGTGGACCTACTTCACAGTACTACATGGATCCTGCCAACAATGCCAAATGTGGCAAGGTGGAGAAATGAGGGCACAGGCGGGATATAGCTATGCTATTTTAGAATGTTGTTAAGAGGCATGAAAAACTAGTTTTAAGCGAATTTGTTTTCCAGATTTGCTATGGTAGCTTTAAAGGTCAAACTTACTCATATTTGTATACATTTGCAGTGGTCTCTAGAAGGAATGGAGGCCTTTTAAGTCTTACTCTGCAAAAAAAGCAAGCTTCAGTGCATCTGTTTGATGATGCAGAAGCCAGCTGGAGGACAAAGTAGCTTCAGACAGCAGGATTTCCTGATATTTGGACATCTTGCCTTGGTTTGTATATCAGCAGTGTGACCACCACTGACTGCTCTGCAACGTTGATGTTTTATCTCCACAAACAACACAAGCCTGGAGGAGTTCTGCTGAGTGGTGGAGTTGCTAATGCTAACGTTTAGCTTCTACTAGTTGAGAAGTTCTCTGCTGTTTCTTGGATGCTAAACCAACAGGAAAAGGAAGAAGTTAATTTATACAGCACTTTTCACAGACCAAAGTCGCAGTGCTTAACAACAGCCTCCCCTGTCGCGAGTCAAGATGGGTGAGTCCATGAATGTTAAGTGACAGTGTGACATAGATCTGTCAGGCTTTTCAAATCCCAGAGTTTCACCATCTATTTTCTTTCAGAAGCAAATGCAGGAGATAGGTGTAGGAGACTATTTTCATGTTCAGCACATGACCGATTAAAATCAGCAATAATAATTAAAAAATGTTTTTTCAGTGAAGTTGAACTTTAACCCTCCCACTGTCTTTATGGGTCCACGTGGGTGGGGTGAGGTGGTGCTCACTCCTCACCCCTGCCACATGGACCTCAAGGGATAAACCATCAACCCTGCTCAATGGTCACCTTTCCTCGCGGGGTCACCCATCAGGACAGTGGGGGGGTTAAATATTCTTAACCTGCTGGGACTTAGGACACAGATAGCAGCCTGGGCACAGCCAATGAACTGAACAAGTTCTTCAATAGGTTCAGTTCAGGAACAAACCCAGCATCTTCCTCGCCTGTCCCCAGCCAATCAGACATCCCATCCTCCTCTGATCCAACATTTTCCTGTCACACGCCAGCTCTTTTGTCCTCTAACGCAGTCATGGACTCTTCTGGTTCTATAAATCTGTCTTCAACCAAGTCAGGAGATGCTGCTGCCCCATTTACCTCCCCCTCCCACCTATCTGTCTCTAGAAGTCAGGTGAAGAGGCAGCTGGACAGACTGAACAGGAATAAGGCTGCAGGTCCAGATGGTGTCAGCCCCAGAGTACTAAAGGCCTGTGCAGAGCAGCTCTGTGGGATTCTGCAGCACCTCTTCAACCTCAGCCTGGCCCAGGAGAAGGTTCCAGTCCTGTGGAAGACATCCTGCCTTGTTCCAGTTCCAAAGAAAACTCGCCCATCAGTCGATGAAGACTACAGAACGGTTGCCCTGACATCCCACATCATGAAGGTCCTGGAGAGACTCCTGTTGGTCCACCTGAATAAGCAAACTAGGTCATATCAGGACCTGCTGCAGTTTGCTTATCGCCATGGAGTTGGAGTTGAAGATGCCATCATCCTGCTGCTTCAACCAATCCACTGTCATCTGGACAAAGCAGGCAGCACTGTCAGGGTCATGTTCTTTGATTTCTCCAGTGCATTTAACACAATCCAGCCTGATGTACTTTGCCAGAAACTCCAGAAGACACAGGTGGGGGCCTCAACTATTGGATTAAAGGGGCATTATGGAAGTTTGACAGCCAAAACATGTATAGAAATAATAAATTTCTTCTCCATACATTCTCCTGCAATGCCCTGGTCCTGTAGAATGAGCCCTGGCATTTTTACTGTGATTCCCTATTTTTCTGTAAAATCACAGAAAAAGAGAGCTGCTCAGGTCGAGCAGGCTGCTTCATCCGCGTTCACGCTCAGGCATCGCCCGTAGCATTTGATATCAGTAGCTTTAGCAGCAGAGAGAGAGAAGTAGTGCCAACTCAGCAACTTTGTCGCTGTTCCTAACGCCTAGTGACAAAGCTAGCTACATTTCTGAGGACCCTTAGCTACTTTCTTCTAGATATCTCCTGCAAATTAGCAACAAAATAGCCATTTTCACTCCAAACCGTTCTTTGAACGTTGTTTCAGCTGTCATTAAGGATATAAATGTTACAGATATAAAGGACCTTACTGTTGCTTTAGCTCACCCAGTAAGACGTCGGACTCCCGTGTAGACGTCTTGAGTTTGATTCTGGATGTGAACCTACTTTATTTAGAGTCTCTTTTTTACATTAATGGTATATTTTTTTACAGTAAGATGCCCAAATTTTTATTTGAGACTCGCGGAACGGCATTGAATTCATAGATAAAAAAAGATGTGGGTTCAACTTTAATTTTGGAACAATTTTTCAAGCAAGGGAAGGGAATGATCTTGCAGGAGGACTGACCCATCATAAACCTTTGTCGGCTGTGCTGAAGAGAAAAGTACAGAACCAAGTTATTTAATTAATTAGCTGCACGTTCTCCTGTCCTCTGTCCTCCGGGCCACACACACACACACACACACACACACACACACACACACACACACACACACACACACACACACACACACACACACACACACACACACACAAGGGACTGTCTCTGCTGTTAGTCAGTTGTTGAGAGTGTAATCTCTTCAGCCATCGTCTGTTGGGGTAGTAGCATCAGAAGCAGGGACCTGAAAAGGCTCAACAGCCTAATAAAAAAGGCTGGTTCTGTTCTGGGGACGACTGTGGAACCACTGGAGGAGATAATGCAAAGAAGGATTCTCCAGAGATTCAAGAAAATGATGGACAACCCTGAGCATTCTCTTCACAAGACTGTCCGACAACAGAAGAGTGTCTTCAGTCAGAGGCTTCTTCAGTTTCACTGCAACACTGACCGCTACTGGAGATCCTTCCTGCCAACAGCCATTGTAATATACAACAACTCTTTGATGACTTGATTCTCATTATTATTCTGAGCTACTACAGCAATCAATTTCCCTCTGGGATAAATAAAGTATTTTTGAATTGAATTGAATTGACATGTTCCACACATCATCATGAAATCCCACTCTGTTATGTGAAGGCTCTTCATTCAAGGCTGCAGTTGCTGAAATATGACTATCAAACTGGGCCACATGAATGCTGCAACACTCCCACATCACCATGTTTGCAGTGGTGCCCTACCCTGACTTACTGCCAGTGTGTCTTTTGAAAGCGGCATTATGATATAATATACTTGTCAAAATACACTCACTGGCCACTTTATTTGGTACACCTTGCTAGTACTGGGTTGGACCCTCCTTTTTCTTCTAAATAGATTCAACAAGGTACTGGAAACATTCCTCAGAGGTTATGGTCCACATTGACATGATAGCATCACACAGTTGCTGCAGATTTGTCGGCTGCACATCCATGATGCAAATCTTGTTCCACCAAATCCCAAAGATGCTTTATTGGACTGAGATCTGGTGACTGTGGAGGCCATTTGAGTACAGTGAAATCATTGTCATCTTCAAGAAACCAGTCTGAGATGAATGGAGCTTTATGGCTTGGTGCATTATCCTGATGGAAGTATATCAGAAGATGGGTACACTGCAGTCATAAAGGGATGGACATGGTCAGCAACAATGATCAATTTGTACCAAGAGGCCCAAAATGTGCCAAGAATATGTCCCCACACCACTATACCACCAGCCTGAACCGCAGGACGGATCCATGCTTTTATGTTGTTGACACCAAATCCTGACCCTACCATCTGAACATTGCAGCAGAAATCGAGACTCATCATACCAGGCAGCATTTTTCCAATCTTCTATTGTCCAAATATGGTGAGCCTGTGTGAATTGTAGCCTCAGTTTCCTGTTCTTAGCTGACAGGAGTGGCACCTGCTGTGGTCTTCTGCTGCTGGAGCCCATCTACCTTAAGGTTGGACGTGTTGTGGGTTCAGAGATGCTCTTCTGCATACCTTGGTTGTAAAGAGTAGTTAATTGAGTTACTGTTGCCTTTCCATAGATGGGAATTGTGGCATCAGCAAGTCCACTCCATTATGTTATTTTGTTCTGCTCAGTAACTGAACAAGGTTCATTTAGTGTGTTGAGTGAGATCACCTGGTTTAGTTGCTGAAGAAAAACACGGCATGGAGATGACTTGTTGATGCCACTCGCCATCAGCTCTGACAAGTCTGGCCATTCCTCTGACCTCTAGAATCAACAAGACCCCACAGAACTGCCGCTCACTGGATGTTTTCCTTTTTCAGACCGTTCTCTGTAAACCCTAGAGATGGTTGTGTGTGAAAATCCCAGAAGATCAGCTGAGTCTGTAATACTCAAACCAGCCCCTCTGGTACTAACAACCATGCCACGTTCAAAGTCACCTTTCTTCCCCATTTTGTAGCACGGTTTGAACTGTACAGCTGTCCATTATTGGTTCTCCTTTACCTTGCTGCTGACCGTTTCTTTCGCGGCTGTGAACTTCCTCAGAGCTGACGCTGATGGTGGCATCACTTCCTACTCCCGTTTATCTGCGGGCAGCAGAGGACGTTGTCGTCCTCTACTGCCCGCTCTCCCCTCTCCGATGATGCAGTCCCATGCACGATCCAATGAGTAAACTCCATCGTCCCTGTTCATGGTCCCGCATCCACGTCTCATCATCTCTATAGCTTCTTTTGTCCATCTTTTGTATTTCTGTTGTTCGGTGTTTATGATCCTTGTGTTGGCCCAGTCCATTATGTGGTTTTCTCTTATGCAGTGATCTGTTATGGCTGACTTCTTTATTGTACTTTCTGCTTCTTCTTCTGCTGCTCTTGTGTGTCTTCAACTTGCCTCTTTCTCGCACTCCTTTCTATGTTCTATTGTATGTGTATTGAGTTGGCGTCCGGTTTCTCCTACGTATTTTTTATTGCAGTTTGCATGGGATTTCGTAAAGAACTCCACATCTATGTCCAGCTGGTATCTTGTCTTTTGGGTGCACTAGTCTGTTTCTAACTGTTGTGTATGGTTTTGTTGGTGTGTTTATGTTGTGTTTTTTCATTGTTGCTGTTATTTTTTCTGTTATGCCTCTGATGTATGGTAGGGTTATCACTGGTTTTGGTTCTTGTCTTTCTGGGTTTCTCGTTCTGTGCTTTGTTCTTTTCTTTCTGTTGTTGTTTGTTGTTTTCCTTTATTTATCACCCATGTCGGGTATCCGTCTGTGACGCCACCATCAGCGTCAGCTCTGAGGAAGTTCGCAGCCGCGAACGAAACTGCCAGCAGCAAGGTAAAGGAGAAACCTTTTCTGTGTCTTAAAAAAGAACCAACAATGCAGTTAGGAAGGCAACACAGTAAGAACATACCAAAGATGTACAGGTGTACCCAATAAAGTGACCAGTGAGAATATAACCAAACTCTACAAAATCTAATTAATACTTTTACCCTCCTTTCAAAGGATAGCGTACCTGGGCCTAACTCTGAGCCTTCGGACTATCTCATTCATCATTTGCATTCCGGGTTTCATCCTGCTCAGCCGACAGATGAAGGAGGAGGAAAAATGTGCCGCACACGGAGCTCTGACTAACGGCGGGACGGAGCTGGAGTTGCTCAGGAAAGAAGAGTTTGTGACACTAAAGCCGACCAACCAGTGCACTCCTCGGTCAACGGCGCAGATCGGCATGCCTGGAAGTGACCTCTGACCCAACGGATAAGAACTTTTCTTCTTTTTGTGTGGTTGTCATTCAAACAAGTACACTTATAAGTTTGTACAGTGTGATACTCTAAACGTGCGCACACGCACACACACGCGCGCTTACTAAAAATGAGATTTGCAGGGACAGCATTAATCTATATTTGTACTACTGAATGTGGAGGTATTTCTGGAATGTACATTCTATTGTTTTTGCTTTTCAAAACAAAAAAAACTATTTTTCTGGTTGGATTCTGGCACAAAGGCTAGAAAAGAATCTTGACTTATGCAGGCCAAACACCAGCATTGAACTGAGCTGCCTCTGCAGAAATAATGGTTACAAATGGAGGATTTTCTCCCTAATATTACAGAGCAGCAGAGATAAAGTGGCCTTATGAAGCATTCAGAAGGCTTCTGCAGGCTGTTTACGCTTCTCAACGGCCTGCAGGTGTAAATGTGATGTACAGTAAACAGTATGTGCCTCCTTCACTCAACAGTTACCTCGGTGTGCCATCGATCCTGACGACAGTGGAGCAACTTTAAACAGTTGCATGCTGTAAGTCTTCAGAAACTCGTGAGAAAAATCATCTAAAAGAAGAAAAAGACTTTGCCTTTGACAAAAAGCCCAAAGTTTGGTCTGATTGTGTTGAAGTTTGTGTCGTGTTTTTCTGGATGTGGATTCTGGTGTTTAGTCACTTTAGATAAAACAAGTTTTGTGTCGTCTGCTTGAAGTAGAAGCTGTTCTGATTTAGATATCCTCAACGCCCATAAAGAGGAGTCTGAATTTCATTTTCTGCCCATAAGCAGCTTTTTAAATGATTGATAGAAATCTGAAAAACGGACATGAAACCTAAAAACAGAAATACTCCCAGATGAACCAGGTTCTGGTGTTAATATACTGTTGTGTCTTCAACAAAAGAAGTCTGTGACATTGAGACACTGATTGTTAGTATAACGTGTATTTGTTACGTGTTTTTGGAAGTTTAAAAAGTCCCCGTTTGTGAAGTCATTCGTAGTCTTTCTTCTGTTTGTGCCACTAGTTTCAGTTTGTGTAGTTCTGTGAGATTTTTTTGGTTGTTTGTGCCAAAGCCCAGAATTATGGTGTGCTCTCAGGTTTTTTCTCTCCTCTAATCAGAAACAGTTTTTCTGAATACATTTTCCAAAGTTTAAATATGAAAAGAAGTTTTAAAAATGACCTGAAAGTGTGTTTTTATTCTGGGAAACGGGTCTAGAAGAGCCGGGTAACGTCAGAAATGTTGCTACAGCTAACACAAAGAGATCAGGTGATGCTGAAAATGTAGGGGACGGGCTTTTCCTTTGTCAGTGTGGAGGATAAGAAAACATCAGGATGCAAAAACGTGGAAAAGGACAGAAAACTAAAATAACTCTGATTACACAAGCATTAAAGTATTGAGCTAAATTTATTTTACTAGTAGTACATTTGATTCTTGGTGATGCTTCTTTCTTGGTATTTATTGATATTTAGATTTTTTGAAGATGATTTTCCTAAAAAGATGTTAGGTGGTTGTTTAAAAAAACTCCTTTTACCTCAAACTGTTCCCCTGCAAACACTAAGGTTTATTTATTTATTCTCAACTTTTCAAACAGATCCATCATTTTTACTCCATTTTGGTCATTTCAGAAGACATTTCAACTTATTTTACTAAAATAAAACAGACCAGGAGACTTCCTGAAAAATCACTTCAGAACAAGTTTAATCGGTTTTCTTGACAACGTGGAAACTGGCTCCATTTTACTCTTTCATTTTTCCATTGATGTGAAGAGATATCATTCATCTTTAGTTTTATTTGAAGCTTTCCAAATGATAAAAGTTTAGATCAAAGTTCCTGTTTTCCGTGGAAATAATTTTAGATACTTTGCTTTTAAGACTCAACAGTAAAACTAGAAGACATTCAGATTTATGATTCAATTAGAATTATGCTCATGAGGTTACACATAACCTTACAGGTTTCAGTGATGTCCCTGATTCACCTCCAGGATAAAAATCTGATTTTATGGTATAATTTGTCTCCTTACATGTGTGATGAGTGTATTTACCATTTGTTGAACTCAGATTGATGTCCAGGCACGGCGACACAAACTCAGACAGCAGGGAAGAAAGAAACCATCGTCTCAATAAGGCATTCACTTGCATTACAGAAACAAGATTGTACATAAATATCTTGGATTATTTTTGTAAAATTTGAAGTAATATAAATGTAAAACAATTAAACATTTAATATCCAATCAAAATGTGTTTCTGTGTTTTTTATTAAGTGCTGTGGGGAATAAAAGTGTGAATAAAAACACCAAATAAAGCAGGACGTAATCAAACAAATCTTTATTGGAGGAAATATCCTATGAACGGCATAAAAAGGCACTTCAATCTGATCTTTTTGTAGAAAACAAACAAAATGAATAAAAGCGTCAACATGTAAAAGTGGGAAACCTTTGAACATTTAATTATGACCATTCTCTCAACAGTGATGCGACTCAAATGAGCAAATGGAAATACAAAATAATACATTGCTGTCGTGTACACACACTAAAGTAAAACGTGTGTGTGAAACATAGTGCATGAAATAAGACTATGGAACCCTATAAATAGCATTGAAATAGCATTGCTGAAATTCTCGTCCTTACAGATGTTTCCTTTATATTTATGCAAAATGATTTAATTTGCAAAACTGTGGAAAAGTCAAATAACAGATGGTGATTTGTCTCAGTTTGAATCCACAAGCGAAATTCATCTGCACAGCAACACATGCAGGCTCAGAATTTACAAACAGGTCTGAACCAAAGCTGCAGCTGTAATTATCACTAACTTTGACCTAAATGTATTTTTATAACCATTGACTGAAGCAAAATTTTTCTTGAGCTTAACACCCAGCCATCTGAATTTACATAACTATGAACAAATGCTCGTGTGTAGCGCTCAGAAAGAAAAATCACCCGATTTAAAACATTCCAATCAGCAGCCTAAAGCCTGCTTAGAGGATCCAGATCTGCTTCTGGAACATAAAGTATGACCCGAGGTTTTACATGAAGGTGCTGCAATGGCTCTCTCTCCCTCTGTGATGTAGAAAACTCTCCTCCTCTTCGCTAGTCGTCCTTTTTATGTCCACCATCTTGATGATTCTGAAAAGACAACTCGTGTAAGCAAACGCCCGTGTTTCATTATGCAGAAAAGTAACTTTACACATGTTAGGACTACCTGGAGCTCCTGGTGCTCCTTGAGCAGCCTGTCATACTCCCTGGCAAGGCCCTCCATCTGCTTCTTCATCCCATCAGCCTCTAATTGAGATTTCTTTAGACCTACATTAATAATCACACATCATCATGAAGCATCCTCTGGAAATTAACAGGCATCAGATCAACTTTCTCCTGGTCAGATTACAAACACAAACATGTAAAAGTAATTTAAAAATGCACTGGAGGAGATGTGTAGCTGTGCATGAAAACAAACCCTCTTTAGAGGTCCTCAGCTCCTCTTTCAGTCTCCCTGCTTCTTGTCTTAACAACTCCATGCCCTCTGCTGTTGCCTTATCACCCTTCCCAGCCATCAGAGTCTGAAAGTCAGCAAGTTAGGAGTGAGAGTGCAGGATGGCCAACTCATCTAACATTTGCAAACACAAAAACTGGATATAATGTGGTCATATTTCCAGAAGCTGAGCTAAAATGACTTATTAGCTGAGATGCATCCCCATCACGTATAGGGATGCACCGATGGATCGGCATTTGATCGTAATCGGCCGATAGCGCCCCTATCGGTTTTGATCGGAATTTTCAAAATAGATCAAAGCAGACCGATCAGGTAGGGTTGTCACGGTAACCAGTGTAGCGGTAAACCCCGGTAAAAAAAAAAAAGTTGACAATAATAATAACCATCTTGTTTTTTAAAAAACTATATTATCTTGGTGGGTTTACCGTGGCTGCGGTGTAGGCGCGGTGACCCTTACCAGCCACCGTATCATCGGCTGAAGTTGCCGGCGGCACAGACGCACGCTTTGTTTACAACAAAACTTTCTTGAAGCTAAAGCTGAAATAATGGTCAAAGGAGGAGACGGCAGCGCTCAGGAGGGCATTTATTATCCCTCAAAGAAGACAAAGTCGGAAGTACGGGCATATTTTAGATATTTGAAGAATGCCGAGGGAGTTTATAGAAGACGGACGGCTATCCTGTTTGCAGCACGTGCAGAAAAAGTGTCTGTGAAAGGCAGCAACGCTTCGAATGTCATGACACATCTGCGTGACCATCACCCACAACTTTACAGTCAACGCAAGGCAAGCTAACGTTAGCGCTTTAGCTAAAATGCGTGATCCGAGGATTTGGGTTGAGGGAGAATGCAACGAGTCGCTATATAAAGCAGCCGCAGCGCCGCTACCTGCATATAAACCGTGTCACGGACACCCCCATGTTAAAATGACGCTATGCATTACGGGGCTCCCAGGGGCAGATAAGAGTTGGTCTCTCTCTGAGAATAATTATGAATTTAACAATGATTACTGCCTGATGACATTTTCCCACATCTGCAAAACTCACTGGAAGAACACAAACCGAGGACAATATTTTCCTGATATACGGATTGCTCAAGTAAGGGTAAAAAAAAGTATCTGATTAGAAGGCTACTTGAGTACTGAGTATCATCTGATCTAAGATTTTTAAAATGATGACATCAAACAGACATAAAATAAGAAGTTATGGGCAAATATTGATATTTTAAAGACTAAAGGGGAAAAATGTAAACAAATAAACAACATAATTACAAAATAACACATTTTAGGCAAAATTTAGACACAAACTGAGGACAATATTTCCTGACATACAGGATTTATTTAATTGTGTGAAAATGTAGCACGTTAAAAATATACCGCGATAATACCGAAAACCGTGGTAATTTTGGTCACAATAACCGTGAGGTTAAATTTTCACACCGTGACAACCTTAATACAGACCATTTTAGATTAGGTTACATTTCCTTTATTCCTAGATTATGTAGTTTGTAGCACTCATTATAATGTTGTAGAAAATTTCTGGCCAATCCACGTGATCGGTATCGGTGATCAGCATTCTTTGATATCGGTATCGGTGATCGGCAGCAAAAAACCTGATCGGTGCATCCCTAATCACGTACTTCCAGTGCTAGCAGACGACGCTAGCTAACTCCATTATCTCTCAACTTAAGATGAGAAACAAAGTCTACCTGCTTCAGCTGCTCATTGTCCTTCATGTAATTCTCAGCTGTTTTGTTTGCATTCTCAGCCTGCATTTGGAGAGCAGCTGTAGTCCCACAGGCAGATGCCAGCTGGTTAATTAAAGTGACCATTCGCTTCATAACCCTGCAGGAGACAGCAATGTTAGAGGATGGTTAAAAGTGAGAAATCAAAGGGTTGCAGTGTGCTACAATAAGAAGAAAACTCACAGCCAGAGGAAGACAGAAAAACCAGAGATGTAGAGGTTCCTTTGAGCCCTGAAAAGCTTCATGTGTAGGTGGTCAAATATATTTGGCTGCAGCTTCGCATCCGGGGTGACTTCTTTATTGGAGTACTTCCTCACCTCACGCACAGCATCTGAAATCACAGTTACACGTGTGACGTGTTTGGGGATGTTTTAATTAGATTATTATTATTATTATTATTGGAATTAATTATTATTTTTGCTGCTTTGATGCAATTTGAGAACCACCACTACAATTTCTACTTTACTGGATCTTGACTTACAGGTGCTGCTTCGTGAGAAGAGTGGAAGAATAATAAAAAATACTCTTTTTCTTCTTACCAAGGAAGAGAACAACAAGTACGACGATCATGGTGAGAAAGACTTTGTTCCAGAACCTCGCCATCCAGCTCCAGATACGCAGCTGGAAAATAATCTGCCATCTGCAAAAAGCACACATAAGCACCATGTCACCACTTGATCATCATGTAGAACTGAATTTTCTTCATATGAGAGATTGATACCTTCTGGCTGAGATAAAGGGCAAGCAGAGGATGACGATGACACCAATCTCCACATAGAGGAAAAGAGCTACAGCTGCCCACTGCAAAGTCATCTTCCTTTCCCCTCTTAAAGACAAAGATCAACGTTAAAAACAGTAAGAAATTATAAAACTATCGCGTTTCTAAAGGAAAACACACTGAAAAACATTCAGCTCTCACAACAAATAACTTTAGGCTACCTAAGGATGTGCAGCTCTTAATATTGTACCTAAAACTAGAACTTCTGCTCCCCTCCATCTTTGGTCATATCATTTAACAGGGGCTTCCGTAAACACTAACTTGATATAATAATTTCTCTGGTTTTCACATTATCATAAGAGGGAAAAATAAAGAAACGTTTGGCACAACGCACGTAAGAGCACGTTTTCTTTTATTTTTGAAACACATTAGCTAACGCTAACACTCACTTATCAATACAGCTTAGATTCAAAGTGTTTTAAAGCGAGACGTTTGTGTTCAAATTATGAGATAAAAAAAACCTCACCGTACCAATAAAGCACAGAAACGCTACCAAAAAGGGAGTAACTTCTCAGGGCAAAGTTTGTCTTCCTGTTCCAGCGTCGTTCGCTCAAAACAAGCTCGTTCGAAACTACTTCCGGTTACTTTTAAAATCCTTTTCATTATAAAAACATAACGGTTTGTTTAAATCTGCATCAGATTAGTACTACTATTTTAAAAAAGTATTTTTCAATGTTTTATTTTTACTTTCTTTGTTCTCGTTAGTTAAGACAGTACCGAAATTTTAAATTTGCTTTTATTTTGAAAGCATAACTTTCCCCGCTATAACATTTGTTTCAAAAACAAAATTACCAAAATATCCTTATTGAGCCAAAATACCTGTTAAAGCTAACATGCTTGTTGTAATATTTTCACTACAAAGAGATCCACCCATTTCGTAGTACTTTTAATTTTTAACTTGAATAAAATGGAACAACAAGCTATCAAATTAAAAAAACAAAAAGCAAAACATTACTGTGTCATCAATACTTTTTGTACTGTATTTTAAAATGGATTTCTTATTGTATTTTCATAGGATTTATTACGGTATTTTACAGGGATTTCTTAGTGTATTTTAATAGATTTATTAATGTATTTTAATGGTCATATCTCTGTCCTATTGTGTTGCATTTTATTGGTGTACAGCACTTTGTTTGTCCATTTTGGCCATATGAAAGCGCTCTATAAATGATTTGATTTGATTTGATCAATTATGCAAAAACAAGTAAAGAAAGAAAGAAAGAAAGAAAGAAAGAAAGAAAGAAAGAAAGAAAGAAAGAAAGAAAGAAAGAAAGAAAGAAAGAAAGAAAGAAAGAAAGAAAGAAAGAAAGAAAGAAAGAAAGAAAGAAAAAGAAAATAACAAGGGGAAAAAAATAAAAGCTAGTTTAGAAAAAACATACAAATCTTTAAGAAGATTTTTTTTTCAAAATAAAATAAAAGGGGTTAAAGAATAACTAAGCTGTCCTAAGAATGCATAAAGCCAAATTGCAAGAAGATTATCCAGTTGTTTCAACAAGGAGAAATCATTTTAAAGAGCAATCCACAAGGGTGGAGATTTGGCATATTGACATTTATGCATAATATTTAGCCTAGTCTAAGATTATGAACTAAAAATTAGTATTGTTATTTCTTGGAAATACACATAATTTAATATTCTGAGTGGACCAAAAGAGAACATTACTAAAAATGGAGTACAATAACTCGAGGAGAGACTTCCATAACCATAAAACAGTGTCACATTCATGCTCTGTTGTCATCGTTGTCGTCTTCCTCCGCTTATCCGGGTCTGGGTCGCGGGGGCAGCATCCCAACTAGGGAGCTCCAGACCGTCCTCTCCCCGGCCTTCTCAACCAGCTCCTCCAGCAGGACCCCAAGGCGTTCCCGGACCAGATTGGAGATAAATCTGTTGTCTCCAGATTTAATTTACAGAAGTAACAATTTCCAATTGAATTAAATTTGAATCATCTCTTAACAAATTCATTAGAAGGTTAACAGTATGTATAGTTAAACAGTAAATGGCCTGCACTTGTGTAGTGTCTTCTTAGGATTTTACAACCCCCCAAGGCGCTTCACAACACATTCAGTCATTCACACGCTGGTGGTGATGAGCTACAATATAGCCACAGCTGCCCTGGGGCGCACTGACAGAGGTGAGGCTTGCCATACACTGGGTGTCTTGCTCAAGGACACAACAGCAGCATTCTATGGGAGCCGGGATCGAACCTGCAGGTTATTGGACAACCCGCTCTACCCCCTGAGCCACTGCTATGGTTTTAAAATGGACCTCTTTATGTTTTAGGGAATTGGACATTTTAAGTACTTGTTTGAATAATTGGTATTTCTGATTTATTCTAATCTGTAAGAATTTGTGAGCTTTTTGCTACACCAGGAAAGTTTTACCCAATAGTGTCTCAACAAAGTATTACATTTTCCATCTATAGGTCTATCATCTGATTTAGCTTTATGTAAATTTAGAGTCTGTTTGTTTAAATTGTTTTTGGTTGGCAGGAGGAGGACCGTGGGGACATTTTGAGTAACCGTTCTGTATAAGCTATTATTTATATTTAGTTTAAAAAAAATCCAATTCAAATATATTATCCATGCTAGCATGCAAATCTGCCAGTTTAATAGAACCTGTTTATGAAACGTGGAGCGTTTTATGACCAGTTTGGATATTTCAAAATCAGACTAATAGAAAACCAAACCCTCCAACTTTATTGAAAACAAGAGAAGGTGCAGCAAACCAAATCTCCCTTTTATTCTTGAAGAAGGATCAGAGTCAGTCAATCATCCCATACATAATCTCAAAGTCAATAGCACGTATCCCCCCCACACTTGTAGTCCTTTAACAACTTGTATGCTCATCTTGACAGGGGGTGACCCAACAACTGCACTCATGTTTTTATATTGTGTTTATGTATTTCAGGTACTTTTTTACACAAACACATTTGTTCTTCATTCTCCTCCTCCTCTTCACCTCTAAACCCACATTTCTCGTCTTTTCCTTCCCATCAATAAAACGCTTGAAGCGTATCTTCGTAATCCTTCATTCACAGGTGAAAAAATACCAGTGATTTCTGACTTTTTCCACGAGGCTTTCTTCAATCTGTTCTGCGTCTGTTTCTCCCTTGATTCTTTGAAGAGGCAATGGCAGTGCAATGCTATCAATGAAGTTAAAGGAAGCGGCGTTCTGGACAATCACAAGCTTCCAGTTTTCATCACTTTTGACGGGTTGTTAAAAATTTGGGCATGTCTCCATCTGCCTTTGAGAGCCCATGCTCACGCAGACAGAGAAGTATAAATCAGGCTTCAGACATAAGGTGAGAAGCTCGGTCATCCGGGAGGGGCTCAGAGTAGATCAGCTGCTTCTCTACATCGAGAGGAGCCAGTTGAGGTGGCTCGAGCAACTGGTCAGGATGCTTCAGACGCCTCCCTGGTGAGGTTTTCCGGGCATGTCCAACCGGGAGGAGACCAAAAGCAAGACCCAGGACACTGTTTCTCAGCTGGCCAGGGAACGCCTTATGAATCCCCCAAAAGAGCTGGCCTAAGTGGCTTGGGAGAGGGCCTCTCTGCTTAAGCCTAATTTATACCTCTCCGTCTGCGTCGAGACGGACGCACGCAACGCCATTATCCGTCCTTGTGAGCCTGCTGGAGAGCCCTCGCAAGGACGAACGGAGTTGAGCTCTCTTTTCTAAACATCTGTCCATCGAGACAGAGAACGTAAGCTTGTGATTGGTCAGGACGCCACTGTCGTCTACAGCGCCGCCATTGCGCCCTAAAAAACCTAGAGCCGAGGATATCTAGCGGCAGACACGGAAAAGCTTTAAGAACACATTGTGGAAAAACTCTAAAAATATGAACGTTTTGACCTCCTTATCTCAGTGAAGCTGAGTATTGTATTCTAGTAGCTTCCAAAAGGGAATGTATTTCTGTTAGGACAGTCCAACATGAAAACTGACAGTATTTAACTCTAAATGTATTATTAGCGACATACATTTTTGGTAAGAATCAACATTTATGCTATAACCATCCTCATTTAAAAGACGTAACAGAAAGTAAATGTAAACTTTACACAAAAACAGCTAATTTCCAGAATTGTATCAATTTCTTTTTGTCTATTGCTCATAATTAACATTTTTTACACAGCTAAAAGTGATGAAAGCATCCATTTAGTCTCTGAAAATGTAAATCTAAATCAATATCACTTTATTTTTCCCTTAGATAACTTGCTCTACTCATCAAGGCACACTGAGGCATTTGCATCATCCCAATTAACCTCAAAATGGCAAAAACTTTATATTTAGGTCTCTTTAGAGTACTGCAAGTATCATTTTATGCAATCATATTTCCTTTAAACATTTTGTTATGAATACTATTGACTCCAGAATGAAAAAAAAATAACTACGAAAAAGACAGTAAATTACAAATTTGCCACTTTATTATAAAATTAAGAAATAGAAAAATAAATTCTCTCCACACATTCAAGTTCCAAGATCTTGAAGAGTCCCGTAAGTGTTCTGGAGGTAATCGATTACAGCTGAGGTGCTGGACAGAGAGTTAAACACTTTTCTCTCAGGCTGGGAGCTAACCCTCTCCAGCATGTAGATGAGATGGCGGTGAAAACATGTGAATGGAGTGCCCAGTTCTGTAGAAATGTCCACCCAGTCCCATATACATTCTAAAGGAGTGTCCTCATATCCTGCAAACATGGCTGGGTTGGCAAGCAGTCCTCGTGCAACCATCACACCTGTTACAAACAAACAAATGAGCACTTAAAGGAGAAAGGCTGAAAGTCATTCATGTCTAAGAGCATGTTTTGGTTAAAAGCAAACATACCGTCAACACCAGTAAGCTGATGAGTAGACTCCACGTCACAAAGGTACTTAATGTCCCCATTGGCAATGACAGGAACAGACATGCTGTCTTTGATTGTCTTTATAGCGTCATAATGAACCGGCTGGTGGCGTTCGTCTGTTGTACGACCGTGGACCGTTATCCAGGACACCCCAGCAGATTCAGCCTTCTGACACAGATCCACTGTTTTCCTCAAGTCTTTGTGAATCCTTTGAATGAAGGAATTTATTTAGGACACTAGTGCAGCACAGAAAAAACATTCTTGTTTTCTATTTGTTATAATAAATCAGTGTAAATCTGGTGTGAGTGCTTACCTTATCTTGATGGAGGTTGTGTAGTTTGGTTTATCCACTTGGTTTCTGATTTGTCTCACCATGTCTTTAACAAGTTCAGGCTTATTCATCAGGCATGCTCCATACCCAGCTGACATAGCCCACCTAAAAACACATCAGATAAGCCAATTAAAAACCTTGTGAGACTTGTAGGAAAATTCTAAAGGCACACCTCCTAATGAGCAGCAGTGATCGAAATAGAAAGATCCATCCATCCATTTTTGTCCGCCTATCAGGGGTTGGGTCACAGGGGCAGCAGCCCAAACAGGGAGGCCCAGACTTCCCTCTCCCCAGCTCCTCCGGGGGAATCCCAAGGCGTTCCCTTGCCAGCCAAGAGACATAGTCCCTTCAGCATGTCCTGGGTCTTCCTTTAGGTCTCCTCGCAGGTGGACGTTCCTGGAAAACCTCACCAGGGAGGCAACCAGGAGGCATCCTGACTAGATGCCCCAGCCACCTCAACTGGCTCCTCTTAATGTGGAGGAGCAGCGGGTCTACACTGAGCCCCTCACAGATGACCAAGCTTCTCACGCTATCTCTAAGGGATAACCCAGACACCCTGTGGAGAAAACTCATTTTGGCCGCTTTTATCCGCAATCTCATTCTTTTGGTCACTACCCAAAGCTCGTGACCATAGGTGAGGGTTGGTATGTAGATCGACCGGCAAATCAAGAGCTTTGCCTTCCGGCTCAGCTCTCTCTTCACCACGACAGACCGGTACAATGCCCGCGTCACTGCAGGTGCAGCATCAATCCGCCTATCGCTCTAACGCTCCATCTTTTCCCTCACTCGTGATCAAGACCCTCCTTCACTCCTCCTAATAGAAACATAAACACTTGTATATTTAACAACAGTAATAGAACATTTAAAAACACATACTAGGACACTAAAGTAAAAAGACCTATTGTGATTAGCAGCACCTCTGAGGACAGCCACAGTTGAGGTCAACTCCATCTGAGAAAGGTGCCACCACACATGCTGCATCAACCAGGGTCTGGGCATCATGGGCAGCAAACTGCACTATCAGGGGGCGATCACCTAAGGAAAAATACATTTAGAGTACAATGGCATCCAGCACGATCATCTATGCTTCAGAGGCTACTCACGTTCATTGGTAGTAAACTCGCTATCTCTGGCTTTGACAGATCTCATGAAGTCGGATGCTACTATCATTGGGGTGAAGCAGACATCACAGCTGTACTTACGCACTAACGTCCTGAACGCCAACCTATGGAAATAAAAACAGGTCAGCCACATAGAACAATAAAAGAGACACGGGTAAAATTACATTTCACTTACTTTGAATACCGAACCATAGGGGCACAAATCTTCAGCACTTTCCCCTTTTCAAACATGTCCACGATGCCACTGCTAGCTGTGTTCATTCTGCGCACGAAATGTGTTAGCGTCAAGCTAACTGTTCAGATATTCAAGGGCCAAACTTTAATGGCGGACGTGATTTGTTTCAGCACGAGAACCATGTGCACTAAAAAGCTAAAAGCCACAGATACTTAGAGAGCAACTGAAGTATACGAGTATCCCGGAAGAACCTGAGGCTGAAAAAACATGCTACATTTCGGAGCTGCCTCGCGAGGAAGGTTACGACCCGCACGTCACACAGCGTTTAAAATATCCTTATTTTACCAAAATACCAACACTGCAATACTTAGTCTTAAAATGTATACAATTTTATTGGGAAAATATTGAGGATGTTCAATTTGTCGCAGGTTAATCTACGTCACGATCACTTCATGGACCGTAAGGAATAGTAGATTTTATAGATTTAAACAGTTTCGACTCAGTTCAAATATAACAATCTATTAAAAAACACATTAAAATGTAAAAATAAAAAGCATAGTTTATTCAAATTTCACGTAAATGTGAAAATAATCGCGCATGAACGTGCAAATAAAACACTGCATTAAAAAAAGCCCATTCAAATGTTTAAATAACACATATAAGACATCACAAATGTAAGCGTGGATAATGTAAAAATTATGTATTTTAACCTGGAAATCCACCCTATATGTGTGTGTGAAAATGCGCACAGGCGGAGCAAATACTTTTACTTCGGCAACTGAAATTTTAGGCTCAAAATCTTTAGCATCAAATCGTTTTATTTACTTAATGTGGTAGTGTGATCCATACCGGACTGCTGCCCTGTGGTCATGGGGGCTTTTACACAGTTGCCGTGTCTTAATGAAATCTGCGTTGATAAATTATTGTTCAGAATAAAACGTCTGGTGCTTGAGAGTCTCTAACGTTACAATACAAAATATGGCCACAAGAGGGCAGTGCAGGAACAGGGCTGGAAAACTGGCATCAGAGATAATTCTCAAGAAAGAAAATCTGAGTCAATTTTACATAAACTTCCTTGAAGTCAAAAGGTGGATCACTTATCTTTCCTTGTGAGAACTGGCCTGCTTCTGTTGAAAATCTATTAGAACAACTTCAATAATGAAACAATGTACACAGGCATCAAAAACGTGATCACTTTATTTCAAACAGGCACAAGTACAAGGCATCTTGAAAATATTCCTCACCAGTGACTGGGATGGGATCAGTTAATCAGCACGTGAATGTAAAAATAAATACAAGTTTAATCCAACATTTAAGTTATCGCAGTGAAATCCTGTGCACCAGTGATTGAGTCATGCTTTAGTAAACACCAACCTCAGATACTATCACGGTTACCGGCACAGTCTAAGCTTAAACATTGGAAATGTCTTCCATCACATACAAAAATACATAAAATTGACAAAACAAGAAGCTTGATGCAAGGTTTCAAAAGAGCACCGACTAATAATGACACACACACACACACACACACACACACACACACACACACACACACACACACACACACACACACACACACACACACACACACACACACACACACACACACACACACACACACACACACACACACACACACACACTTTCAACAGTGTGGACAAATTTTAGTTTTTCAAACCCTGGATTTTTAGTTATTTAGTACTAAGATTTAAAAAAAAACAAATTCATGAGCTTCGAGGGTAATGGGATCTCTCAAAGTAAATTCAAACCAGAGGTCTTACCCAGATGTTTCTACTGATTAGAAAGACCCTTAGAGAGGTGACAGGCTTCTAAATAAAACATCAATAAAGCAGATTTCACAGAGACATGAATGATAAACAATCACAGCACAGACTCCTCCCACCAACAGTATAGGAGGTGTAACTGAAAGAAGAGACAAACATGTACACAACAGGTCAGTGGCAGAACGAAACCTTAATATTAAGATTTAAAAGCACAAACATCCTTTCTCTTCTAAATGAGCTTCCCTCCTCTGATTACTTTGGCCTCAAGTTTCTCCTCAAGCCTGCAGTTGAAGACAAGGACAAATACAACAGGGAGGACATAATGAACAGTGAGGCTTCAGTAATGCATTCTAATGAGGCTGAGGGGGAAAACACAGCTGGTTCATTTACACGACCACCACTTAGCTGGACCCTAAAGAGACGACGGGAGACTATTACAGAGGTTGCATTTGCTGGTGATGCATCAGGAGCAAAAAGGAGCATTTTAAACCTGAAGAGGTGAATAAAAACAAAAACAAGCCTGAACTGGCTTCAGTGCAACTTAAGAGGAGCATCAGTACAGTGACAGTAAAAACAACCCCAATCACCTACCCTAACCCCCACCCTCATTGAGGTAGCCTCCTGCTGCAGGCCACCTCCAGCTCCACACTCGACAGGAAGCGTCTGCACTGCCGGTGGGAGTCGTAGCTCAGCTCTGTGATGTAGGCTTCGCTGGTTTTCTTAGGGTAGATGATGGTGGTGCTTCTGAAGCATTGGGGACGAAGGCGTGGCTCCAACTCCAGCTGTGTCTTGTAGTGGCGCCAGGTGCTGTGGGGCAAAGCCACGATGGTTTGTCTGCAGAGCTCCAGGCCCTGGCCCCGAGGCTGCAGATCCACAGTCTGGATGAAGTGACGGTCAGAGTCATAGTGCACGAATGATTTGTATCTGTGGACGAAGGAAAACATCCATGACTTTAGTTGGATTAAAACAGGACATCATGTGTCCAAACCAAATATTAACTCTACGCCTTGTTGTGGTCAACTCACCTCAGCTCCTTTGGTGGCAACGGTTCTAATCTGATACCCTCCCCAAAAGACAGAGGCTGCAGCTCAGGTAAAGGGCCAGCTGGTGAAACCGAAACCTGAAATGCAAAGTAGCACTTTAAAATGGCAGTGTGTAGTTTCCTGGCACTAGGGGGCAGTACATACTACACTTCAGGGTCCCTAGTTAAAAAAAAAAAAAAACATTATGGTAAATGTTACCTGTGGAGCAGAAAGCATGCAACCTCAGAGTGAATCTTCAAACTTTGATGGTGCTTTTCAGTTAATTATTTCAAGAGAACGCAATGCTGATTGTAGTTTTCTGGCGCCGTTTACGGATCTGCGAGGGGTCCTACGGCAGGGAGTTTAAGTCCAAGTTTTCCTCTGCTCTTCTCCATGTCTGGTTCGATGATGTCACTTTAGTGATGCGCATTTATAGTCCTGGAAGTATTTTCACACAAATCCTACCCCCCAATACCCCCACCCCACCCCCACGGAAAATAAGCTAATTCTTGGTATCAAAATGAGTCTTTAAATTCACGGCCATCATATGTGAAATACAAGAATTAGAAAACAGCATTTTTAGCCCCGTTGACTTGCATTTTTTCGTTTTTCTAGGGACCCGTGGTCCAGAAGTAGATGGGTGTGACATATCAGCCAAAATATATTGCACCTCTTTTTCAATGCAGTTCTTTCACTTTTGGGTAACTTTTAGCAATTTTGTTATTACATTTGTGTTTCTTACAGCCTAAGTGTTTTTGAACGTTGTGACATAACTTCTGTGCATGTTCAGCCAATCCTCTAGCGTGATGTCATCGACAGGCATAGGACCCTGAGCCGGCCAGATAAACAGGTCGTCTAATGGCACCTCCCAAAGATGCCAATAGGCTTCATGTACTTTAGACCCGACGCCGTCAAATCAACAAGTAGACATCATTTTATTCATCTTCAGCATTTTGATGGATATCTCCAGTGATTAACGGTAAAAACTACACATTGTCTCTTTACGTTGAAGCTGGGATTCGTCCTTCATTGGATAGAAATTTGCCCTCCAAATTGCCATTAATTCTTGTGAGGATTTTCAGGATTTTTATGTTTTTAACCTCAGACCAGTACAGGACCACTTTAATCCATCCATTTCAGATCTTTAATTATTACATTAAAAAGACTTAAAGCCACCCTTAAGTAAACCCTCATTTTAAATGTGATTTACGTGATTTTATTTATTTATTTTTTTGTTACCAGCAGTTTCCATTTGTTTAGTTAAATCCAAAGAAATCCCCAAAACTGACACACAGTGTGGGTAACAAATATGCAGCATCTTTCAGGTCCTGTTTTTAGCTCTTTGATGACTTTTTCCTTATTTGTTAAAAATGACACTTTATAGTAAATTATTCAGCTGTTGTAGAAAGGGTTTTAACTTTTCTCATTTGTTTTGAGCACAAAACTCCACAAAATGTTTTAACGAGACCAAGATCACAACCAGCTACAACAGAGTTTTACTGCTCGGAAGGAAAGCACTAATTAAAACACAAATCTGACTGATCTAATTCACTTTCTTCGGTCAACGTTGAAACTTTCTAACACATTTGATTTTTTTAAACGAAACTGGAGGCAAGGAAGAACGTGGATCCTCACCAGGGAGCCCCTTTCTTCGTCCTCCGACACCGGGCTCACCCCACCGGCTTTCCCTGCGCCCGCAGGCATCAGCCAGGCGCTGGGGCTCGGACTCGGGGGTAACCCAGAGTCCGGGCTGTCAAGTCCCCTCTCAGCCCTGCTGCAGCTCATGCCTAGAGGATCTCCTTCGGAAACATTTGGCAAGTTCAACCTGCCGACCATTTCTTGTTTAAAAAAGTGTCGCAAAAGTCCAGAGAGTGATGTGCAGGTTTGGAAAGGGAAATTGCACTTCCTCGTATTGTTCTCGGTTTTGTTGCACGGTTCCTCCGCGTGCTGCAGAAATTCTGCCCGGTCTGCAGACGCTTCTGCGGGCAGAAGACTCCCTCAGTCTGATGGGGAGCAGATTTGGGCGAATGCGCGTAGGATCCCAGGTCTAATCCACGTTTCCGACACAGGGATCAACAGGATTAGCTCCTCCAGCCACCAGCGGCTCCTCTTCAAAACTCATCCTGGCCCCTCAAAGGAGACTTTCATAGCCGCAAACACAGGAAGGGACACGCCTCCCAAGCATCTCTGGCCTCTGATTGGTTGGGAGATAATTGGAAACAAGAACCAAGGCCAGGAGTGGGAACTTTTCCAGACCTTCCTTCGACTAGAAATTTTGGCACACACACACTTTGGACTGAGCAAAGAGGTAAAATGTAGCAAATGTCTTTCTCTGCTCCTGATTTACACTAATGGAATTGATCACTGATAAGATCATAATTAAACACATTTCTTTGTCGGCCAAGAATGACAAAAGTGAAGGCTATGAAGTAATATGTGTGTGGTGAATAATTGGAAAATGGAACCATTTCAAGATAGCAGCAATCTTTTTTTTTATTGCGGCTGTTTGGACTAGCAGTTAGCTCATCAGTCCTGTGGGACGAGATCCCGCCATCTACAGTCAGTGAGTTATTTAGGAATTTTATTTACAGAAACACTTTTAATGGTAAATAAAAACCAAAGGTACACCATACTCAAAGCAGATCATAATCAGAAACGGTTTTTAATTTACATCAATGTTACAATCATCAAGGATTAAATACGTTAAAGAGCAGCCAGAGACTTTCTGAGCAGAATTTAAATCAACAACACATCAGATCCTCTGATAGCTCAGGTGTTAGCGTCACGAAAACCACAAAGGGAAATTACAGCTACATGTGTACAAATCTCATTAACCGTTTAGGAAGTTTCATCATAACCCAGCTTCAGCTCAGTTTCATATTACGTTTAGGAAGAATGTAACTTTTCGCTCTCTCTGAGATCCCAAACTAACTGAATGGAGAATAATGGAGTCTTTTGTTATAAATAACGAAAAGCAATCTGACGGCAGTTAGGATGAAGATCCAAGTCTGTTCACAGTCTTTTCTTGATGAGTTTCTCTAGTTTGCGGATACGAGAAGATTCCTGTTCAGGAGTGGGGGCGCTAAAGGACAGAGAGGTGCCGCCGTCGGCCCCTGAGGGTGGAGTGGGTAATCTCTGCCTGAAGAGCTCCAGCATGCTGCTTTGCTCGCTGCGCTTCAGACCCTGCACACAACCCAAACACACACATGAGTGCAAGTTCATCAGAGCTGGGTATACATCTGAAAGAGTGGAGCCTTAAGTCACCTGGGGTTATATTTGCTAATTCATCTGATGAAGAGTCAGAAAGCTGGATTAAGATATTGGTTAACTACAAAAAGTAGATTAATCTGTGTGATCTGACATCCCAGAAACCATTAACATGGATGCCCATTTCCGATCCACAGAATTACAGTCATCAGAAGAAAACACTGTCTGGCTTTACCCAACAGTATCAACTTAACCACCAATGTATCCCACTGGGCTGCAACTATTGGTGTCAAATTAAAAAAATGCATTAATGAGGAAGTTTCTAAAATGTTGGCAAGGATTCCCAATTTCCTCGTCTGCACCGAAGGGTCTCAGCATCACACCGCTGGAATTCTGGGTGTCCTGGACCCTTCTCTAGTGCCGTCTGTGAGTCAAGAATGAGTGAAACACCCGAGAAAACTTTGGGAGGGATTGGAGAACAAACAGTGTTTGAAGCTGCAAACAAGTTAAGATAAAATCAAGATCAATTGCAATAACATTTGCAATAGTCATAACTGTAACGCAAATGTTGCTTTTGTTCACAATTACTGTACTGCCCTCATGACTCAGCCATAGGTAAAATAAAACATATTGCAAAAACGTAGATTTGATTTTAATGCGACTTCAAAAGAGAATTGGAGTGTTGCCAAATGTTAAAACCCCAGTGAGGGACGGGTTTGATGCTTAAACCAAAGTGGAACATTTTACGACTTCTCGTTTTAGATTAAGCAGCATTTTTCATTCATTTCAGCAAAGAAAAGTAAAACCAGCTGACCTTCATGTCCAGAACCTTCTGGAAAGTTTCTGGATTCCCATCAGCCAGAAGTTTGATGTAGTTATCAACAAACACCACTGGTGGTTCATGTGGGGCCATCACCACCTGAGGAAAAGTTCAGAGTTAACGTGGTTTACATCCGTCCCTCCCACCAGCCCATCACTATTTTACTATGAACAATCAGGGGACAGCCCCAGATGCCTTTAAACTATCCCACATGGCTCTGACGGGGAAAGGGAGGCAACAACCGACAGAACCAGGCAGCCGAAATCAAAGTTCTGCTTCTATTTTAAAAATAGTTTCTTCTTTTTAAGCTGCAACTACACCAGGCACGCGTGAGCAAGAATTAGCTTGACTAGTTATTATTCTTTGGTAATGAGTTTGGGTAAAAATTAGCATTGAAGAAAAGTCTTGTGGGACGCAGATTTGTACAGTTTTAGTACATTTTTAATAACGAAGACAAGGACAGGACCTAAAGCTGCAGCAGACCAACACATGGCTGATTCTTAAAAACATTTTCAGCTCTTTCTAGTGTTACACCTTCTGTGACTCTGGGTAAGGTGTGTGTGTGCATGTGTGTGTGTGTGTGTGGGGTGGGGGGGGGTCGCAGCAGGGCTGCAGAATCAGAGCAGGAAACGCAGGAATGATTGGCTCAGGATTCTCTGGAACGCCACTCTTCCTACAAGCCCTGCTGACTGAGTGATTTACTTAACAACTGCCCTGGAACTGGGCCAAAGGGGCTTTGAACACCCCCACCCCCCAAACAGAGGGTAAAGAAAGGGGATCAGTCGGTAACGGACAAAAATGAGCACTGAAATGGTAAATTTGAAATAAAATGCGGAGAAACAGAACAAGAGTGGGGAAGGGGGGTGCCTTTGAAATGTTCCCCCAGAAGAAAACTTCACAAGGCTTGAGTGAAAGCTGGAGCTATGGTGGGCTGGGCTGAGTGTGTAAAACAGCCACGTCTCTCAGGCACCGTGCAGGCCAGGAGAGGCCATCTCCAACAGACACAAGGAGTCTTGTGTACTTTGAACATAGCGGAGAGCTGGCTCACAAAACAAAGAGCCCAGATGTATTCCTGTTCAACGCTCAGAGCAGACCCTCGCTCGGCTCTCTGCAGAAGATGGGGTCTTTACTGGGAACAAACTGAAATTACTAGTCTGGGGGCTAGTGGCTGTGTGTAAACATGAAAGAAATAACAATAAAATTATTTATGCCTCTTTTCAGAGGTTTAGCATTTCTGTAGCTGCTTAGTATTGTAGCTTATCCGAGATTTAAGTTGCTTTTGTGCTTGTTTTGGACCTTTTAATGTTGTTTTTGCTTGTTTACAACCTTTTCACTTTTCATTTTCTTTTAGTAATTTAGCATTTGTAGTTTACATCCATTTGCATGTCTTTGTTTAAGGTTTGTGTACTTTTCATGCCATTTATTTTCTGTTTTTATTGTTGTGTATCTTTTCCTTTTCAATTTCTCTCCGTTTAACTTATGAGTCACTTAAAGACTCATTTTTTCCTCTTCAATTGATTGTAATTTACATCCTTTTCAGCATTCTGGTGCTCTGTTGTTTTGTGACATTTTCAGTGACATTTTGCAGCAGAAGCTTGCTGCTCCTTTGACTTCTGGCAGCCCCAGGGAATGTGCCTGGTAGACCCTTTCACTAATTCGTCTACAATCTGACAGCAAAGTATCAAATTCCCTCAGCTTCTGCTTTAGCAGCAATCCCCAAAAAACCTCCAGCAACATTTAATTATTTAATATAAAGAAAGAAAACTTCTAGATTAGGTTTTGTGAAATTACTGATTATACACACACACACACACACACACACACACACACACACACACACACACACACACACACACACACACACACACACACACACACACACACACACACAGACACACACACACACACACAACATGTTTCTGATCATCAAACACATTTCACCATTAGTCAAAGATAACACAAGTAAACACAAAATGCAGTTTTGAAATTATGTTTTTTATTATTTAGGGAGAGAACAAAATCCAAACCTACATTGCCCTGTGTGGAAAAAGTAATTGCCCTGCTTTTTAAAAAATAAAACTGTTGTTTCACACCCAAGTTCAATTTCTGTAGCCACCCCCAAGTCTGATTACTGCCACACCTGTTTCAATAAAGAAATCACTTCAATATGAGCAGCCTGACACAGAGAAGTCGACCAAAAGCACCTCAAAACTAGACATCATGCCAAGATCCAAAGAAATTCAAGAACAAATGAGAACAAAAGTAATTGAGATCTAAAGGTCTGGTAAAGGTTATAAAGCCATTTCTAAAACTTTGGGACTCCAGCGAACCACAGCGAGAGCCATTATCCACAAATGGCAACAACATGGAACAGTGGTGAACCTTCCCAGGAGTGGGCGGCCGACCAAAATTACCCCAAGAGTGCAGAGACAACTCATCCGAGAGGTCACAAAAGATCCCAGGACGACTTCTAAAGAACGGCAGGCCTCACCTGCCTCAATTAAGGTCAGTGTTCACGACTCCACTATAAGAAAGAGACTGGCCAAAAATGGCCTGCATGGCAGATTTCCAAGACGCAAAACACTGTTAAGCAAAAAGAACATTAGGGCTCGTCTCAATTTTGCTAAGAAACATCTCAATGATTGCCAAGACTTTTGGGAAAATACCTCGTGGACTGATGAGACAAAAGTTGAACTTTTTGGAAGGCAAATGTCCCGTTACATCTGGCGTAGAAGTAACACAGCATTTCAGACAAAGAACATCATACCAGCAGTAAAATATGGTGGTGGTAGTGTGATGGTCTGGGGTTGTTTTGCTGCTTCAGGAACTGGAAGGCTTGCTGTGATAAATGGAACCATGAATTCTACTGTCTACCAAAACATCCTGAAGGAGAATGTCCGGCCATCTGTTCGTCAACTAAAGCTGAAGCGATCTTGGGTGCTGCAGCAGGACAATGACCCAAAACACACCAGCAAATCCACCTCTGAATGGCTGAAGAACAACAAAATGAAGACTTTGGAGTGGCCTAGTCAAAGTCCTGATCTGAATCCTATTGAGATGCAATGGCATCTCCTTAACCTTAAAAAGGCGGTTCATGCTAGAAAACCCTCAAATAAAGCTGAATTACAACAATTCTGCAAAGAGGAATGGGCCAAAATTCCTCCAGAGCGCTGTAAAAGACTCGTAGCAAGTTATCGCAAACGCTTGATTGCAGTTATTGCTGCTAAGGGAGGCCCAACCAGTTATTAGGTTCAGGGGGCAATTACTTTTTCACACAGGGCAATGTAGGTTTGGATTTTGTTCTCTCCCTAAATAATCAAAAACATTTCAAACTGCATTTTGTGTTTACTTGTGTTATCTTTGACTAATGGTTAAATGTGTTTGATGATCAGAAACATTTTGTGTGACAAACATGCAAAAGAATAAGAAATCAGGAAGGGGGCAAATAGTTTTTCACACCACTGTATGTATGTATGTATGTATGTATGTATGTATGTATATATATATATATATATATATAGACACACACACACACACACACACACACACACACACACATATATATATATATATATATATATATACACATATATATATATATATATATATATATATATATATATATATATATATATATATATATATATTTCTAAGGAAATATTTTAGTTTAAATAACTAAAACAGAACATAACTGAGCCAGCTACAGATATCTCTGGGTAACTTTTAAATATCTAAAATGGACTGTAGCTTGTCTGTAGGGGGTGAAAGTCAGATTTAATTACACGCCACAGCCTTGAGTGTAATTTAAAACCATCACTGAGACCAGGCAGAAGCATCTTTCAGAAGTCCTCTTAGCCCAAGGTGGGGGCAATTACCTGGGAGGAGGAACCTCACTCTAAAAAAACAAAAGCTTCTCTTTGTAGCGACAAAATAAACTTCAACACATTTTGCGTTTATATAATTGTGCAGCATTGTTACTCCTCTCAAATGTCACAAGGACTGTTTTCTTCATCTGTCCTTAAAAACTCCGTCCAAGGAACATCTGAACCAGAAGCTCTCCACTGTTCACAGTTCTTTTGTTTTAGATCACTGTCTGTCTTGATCAGGAGTGATCTGGAAAAATTAATACATTCCTTCAGTACATCTCATTTGAACTACTGCAATAGTTCATATCTAGGGGTAAGTCAAGCATGTATTTCACGGTTGCAGTTAGTTCAGAACGCGGCTGCTCGCCTTCTTACTGGGACTGGTCTAAGGGAGCGTATTTCGCCCGTTCACATCTCTCCACTGGATCCCTGTAGAGTTCTGTATTCAGTTTAAGATTTTGGTTAATGCCTACAAGTGTTTAAACAGCCTCGCACCAATCTACCTCTCTGATATTGAATCAACTTCAAATTTGGGATATATGATCTATCGATGAAGTTAAGTATTTGTGATGTAGAACTGCAGAAATATTGAAAGTTGCGTAAATGACACCATTTCAAATTCAGTGCGCTAGCTAGTACGTCCTAATTGATGGTATCGCCACCATTTTTTAAGTTTCGGTGATGAGACTTTAGACTCTTACAAAGTATGAGCTGTAAGTCACATCTACTTAATTTTGTTTTGATTCACCAATAGGGGCGCCAATCCATTCATTTTCATCCTCTTATTGGGAGTCGGGTCGCGGGGGCCGTAGCCTAAGGCGAGAGGCCCAGACTTCCCTCTCCCCAGCCACTTGGGCCAGCTCCTACGGAGGAATCCCAAGGCGTTCCCTGGCCAGGTGAGTGACATAGTCCCTCCACCGTGTCCTGGGTCTACCTTTAGATCTCCTCCCGGTTGGACGTGCCCGGAAAACCTCACCAGGGAGGAGTCCAGGAGGCATCCTGACCAGATGCCCGAGCCACCTCAACTGCCTCCTCTCGATGTGGAGGAGCAGCGGGTCTACTCCGAGCCCCTCCCGAATGACCAAGCTTCTCACCCTATCTCTAAGGGAGAGCCCAGACACTCTTGGGTGAAAACTCATTTCGGTCGCTTGTATCCGCAATCTCGTTCTTTCTGTCACTACCCAAAGCTCATGACCATAGGTGAGGGTAGGAACGTAGATCGACCGGTAAACC